CGTCTCGAATGCGCTGAGTGCCTGCATGTGCTTGGCCAGTAAGTGGAAGGACAGGCACCCCTGGGCCTATTCCGATGTCCACCCAGCAGCCTGTCTAGAAAGGAGGAGGCCCATCACCTGGACTTCATAAGCCCACGCTGACTGGCCATTACGTGCTGGGAGTGGCCGTCACGTTCCTGTGGTAGGTGACCAAGTGGTTACCTGGACACGGTCACAGGATGGGGCCGAAGGAGGGTGAACAACTGCCCGAGGTCACAGGCAGTTTGTCCCGGAGCCCGGCCATAGAGATGGCCGCTCAGGAAGTTCTTCTGGGCTGGTCTCAGAGCAGCTGGGTGACCCCCAAGGCTACAGAGCACAGCCAGTGAGGGTGTGGAGTCAGAGCCCACCTCTCTGCATGGTGTGGGGTGTCCTGAGTGTCTGTGGGTGGCAGGACCTGGGGGCTGGCTCTCCATGCAGAGCACCCAGCCTGTTCATGCACTGCCTGCCCGCTGGGCGGACTGAGCAGGGTCGCACCTGGCTGACACCTTGGGGATTGGATCATGGTCAGGTCTGGAAGGGTTCCAGGGGCTTTTGCAAAGCCTTGAGACGGGGCATCTGCATGGATGCAAGAGCAGGCAATGGGAGTGCCGGCCGTGTGGAGCAGGTGGTCAGTGGGTCGGCGTCCTGGCTGTGAGCACCTGGCTGACCCAGGCCAGCCTTCCCTTGCTGTGCTGTCTCAATTCCCAAGGCCTCTGACAGTCACGGTTGGCAGCGCGGTTCTCTGAGCACACGGCTTTGGGGGATATTGACAATTGTTTGCCGAATGACTAGGATGGCAGCAGAGGCTGCACGGGGAGGTTTGGAAGCAGGTTTTGGAGGGGACAGTGGTTGATGTGCCGGCTAATGTTGGGGAAACAGTTACACAGAATCTGCTGCCAGTCCAGCAATCCTGCCCACAAACATGGGGAGGAAAGTTTTCTTATCGAGTAACGTCGTGAGAGCAGCACGGATGTGCAGAGGTTGCCGAGATGACGGAATCCCTCCTTCTGCGTAGGTGGCCGGGCTGGCCCCATACATGCGTCACACACATGTTCCCAGGTTGACCCTGCCCTTGGGTGGGGGACCCACCCGGCCCACCCGAGTCTACCTGGTGGGGGTGGGGCCTCTGTGATAAGCAGGGGTTACACCTCGACCTCGTGCCTGGGCAGACTCCTCGCTGACAGGGGGACAAGGACAGCAATCCTATGCTGTAAAATAGGCTTTTACAATGTTTACGTCCATCTCAAAGGGACAGAGAAGGGACTTCGGACCACAGGTTCCTCAGAGAACACTGAGAAAAGGGAGGAGAGAAAGGTCTGCCCTTTGGGAACAGAAAATGCAGTTTTCTTTTAACTTTGTGTTTACCCCACAGTGGGGTGCGGGAGGCGGGCACCCCCAACCTCCATCTTGAACAGGCCCTTTGGGAAGCCCCGCAGGGGCCCCAGAGCCTTTGCCCCAAACCCACAGCGGCTGTGCTCAGGTCGGTCCTTTCCCTACCGTGGATCCTGGAGCTCGGGCAGGAGGGGGCGGGCGGCCCTCGACCTCGGCGTCCATCCGGCCCATCTCCACGCCCCGCTCCCCGCAGAGATCCAGAGCTTTGCCAGTGCAGAGAAGGACGGGCGCATCGTCGGGGAGATCGCCTTCCAGCTGGACCGGCGCATCCTGGCCTTCGTCTTCCCGGGGGTGACCCGGCTCTACGGCTTCACCGTGTCCAACATCCCTGAGAAGATCAAGCAGGTGCGTCTCCTTGCCTGGGGTCCCCTCCTTGCCCCAGGTCCCCTCACTGCCCCAGGGGAGGGTCCCCTAGCTGCCCTCTCACCTGTGGTGCCCACACAGCTGTTGGCTCGGGCACGGCTGTGGGGTCTCTGAGGCACACGGGCCATGGGGTGTGATGAGCACCTCTGCCGGTGCCGTCTGCCTTGTGGCCTGGGACGGTCTCGGGAGGGCTGCCAAGACACAGAGCACTTGATACTCAGTCCTGCCTGGCAAGTTGCCTCCTCTGCACCGGGGGTGGAGCTCCAGCTCTTGTCGCTGGCACTGTCACTGGAGGGGATCTGGGAGACTTGGTTCTGCCGGGATGGGGTGCTTGGCTCTGGGCCTCAGTTTCCCCATCTACGTGGCTTTATTCATGCAAATCTGGTCACTGTCCCTGCCCTGGCCTTGAGTCTCGCCTCAGCCTCCCGTGGTGGGGCGATGTGGCCTGGCCCCACCCGCCCCTACGCTGTGCCCCCAGACGTCCATCAAGTCCCTGGACGGCTCCGTGGATGAGAAGAAGCTGCGTGAGCTGACGCACCGCTACCTGACGCTAACGGCGCGCCTGGAGAAGCTGGGCTACAACCGCGAGGTGCACCCCGTGTTCAGCGAGTTCCTCATCAACACCTACGGCATCCTGAAGCAGCGACCGGACCTGCGTGCCAACCCGCTGCACAGCAGCCCGGCCGCCCTGCGCAAGCTGGTCATCGACATCGTGCCCCCCAAGTTCCTGGGCGACTCGCTGCTGCTGCTCAACTGCCTGTGTGAACTCTCCAAGGAGGACAGCCGGCCGCTCTTCGCCTGGTGAGCCCGCACCCGCACGCCCTCCCTGCAATAAACGTGTTTGTTCCAAACCCGGGGGCCGCCGTGCCTCCTGCGCGTCCCCTCTGGCCGGGGGCAAGGGCTGTGTCCTGAGGGAGCGCCCAGGGCCGCAGGCAGGCGCCCGGCGCTGGAATAGGCACCGGGCACAGACCGGGCCAGGCACCCCAGGGTGCCCACAGCCTCCTGCGCCCACACCTGTGCGGCTCTGTCACAGTTCATTAAAATCATCTGTTACTTGTTTGCCTCTACCTTTGGCTCTTTGAGGACATGGAGAGCGCCTTGGTCACTGCTGGGCCGCAGGAGGCGCCCACCGGCATTTGTGAAATGAAGCCTGGACAGAGCCGGGAGGGGCTGCGGCTCAGGCGAGGCCCCCAGACCCCCCAACCTCGAGGACCTTCCTCTGCACCATCCTCAGAGGTCTCAGTTCCTCCCCTTGAAAGGCCAGCAGGTCCTGTCCCAACTTGGGTTACCCCAAGCACAGAGCCTGAGGCAAGGATTCGGGCATAGGCAGGACAGCTATAGAATCTGCAGGGCCACGTGCAAAATGAAAATGCAGGCCCCTTGTTCAAAAGTTAGGAATTTCAAGATGGTGACAGCTGAGTGTTACACTGAGTGGGCCCATGCACCTGCATGGGTTCCCCCGGGGAGTCAATTTATCTGGGAGGTGATTCAGTGCACCTGCCCCCCTGCCCTGCTGGAGCCTTCCAGGCCATGTCTCTCCTGAAGTCTAGAGGACGGGTGGCCTCCTGGGCCCCACGGTCAGGACCAGGACCTGGCACTGGCGCCTTCCTGGGGCTTTGCTTTGCATGGAGGGTCTCCGGTCACTTCTCTGCTATGGGTTTGAGGATGAAGCTGTTGGGGTTTCTGGGCCAACCTCTATGTGGAGTGACCTTGGTCCTCACCGCCCAGTGTGTCCCAGATGCCACAGCACCTTAGGACCATGTCTTAGTCAGCTCGAGCTGTGGTAACAAATACCACAGACGGGGCGGCTTAAACCACAGACATTGATCGTCTCCCAGTCCTGGAAGCTGGCTGTCCGAGATCCAGGTATGGGCAGGGCTGGTTCCTCCAAGGCCTCTCTCCTTGGCGTGTGGACGTGTCATCTCCTGTGTCCTCACGTGGTTGTCCCTCTGCGTGTGTCTGTGTCCCCATCTCCTGTTCTCACAAGGACCCCAGTCAGACTGAATTAGGGCCACCCCAGTTACCTCAGTTTACCTGAGTCCCCTCTGTAAAGGCCCTATTTCCAAAGACAGTTGCATCCCGAAGGCTGGGGGTCAGGGCTTCAACATGTGATTTGGGGGGACACAGTTCAGTCCATAACTGGCTCCATGCTCCCCTCCTAGCTGCTGGACACCAGCCCCCAGCTGAGGGGCTCCCTGCTACTGTGGGCACAAACGTGGCACCAGGCCGTCTGCAGAGGGGGGCCTGGCGGGCACTTGTGGGCACCCCTGGGCTGCAGGCTCTCTCCACATGAGACCTTGGCGTGCGGCCTGGGTTTGGAGAGCTCCCCTCACTGGGCTTTGCCATCTGCTGGGTGCTGTTGAGTCTCCTGCATCCCCTTGTGGAACTGGAGGTGGTTCGACCGTCACCCACGGTCACCCAACTTCACCCAGGGGAGCCACAGCTGGGGAGGAGGGCTCGTCCAGCCTCTGAGAGTCTGTGGGCTCGTCTGGCCCCTCAGGGGTGGCTGCTGGAGGAGTGGGGTCCCAAGACCCACACAGCTGGGATCTGGGAGATCCACGCATCTCCTCGCCCAAGCCCCATGGCTGCCCCCACACTGCCACGGAGTGAAGTAGCCTCAGCTATTGATTGCCCCCAAAACTGTGTGGGGTGCCTGCATCCAGAAGACAATAGATGGGATGCAGCCTGCTCTGGGGAGGGGCCGGCGGGGTGTCTGTGTGCTGCCATGATGACAAGATGGTGGGCCTCTGCAAAATGGAGATGCCTCCAGCCTTGGGGAGCAGCAGCCGGCAGCCAACCAGAGCTGGGGCCTCGACTGGAGCCACCCCGCCTGAGCTCCCACGCACTTGCTCACACTGCCCCTCCTGCCAACTAGCCCGAGCCGATCTCTGCCTGGAGCAAGGGCCAGCACTGGGGTCTTGCCCTGACACTGGTCACTTGGAGTGTCACCTGGAGGTCACTTGGAGCGTCAGAGGGTCACTTGGAAGGTCACACAGATAGCCACCATGTGGCTCTGGACCCAGCCAGGATTAGAGCCCAGGCTCCTTCACAGCCTGGTAAGGCTGTCACCCCTGAGGGTCCGGGTCACAGGCACTTCCTCAGGGGTGCCCACCCCCAGCTGATGGAGCCAGCCCCCCTCTTCTGTGGTCAGGGGTCCTGCTTCTGCCCCTCTGGTGTCGGCTTCTGTTTGCATAGTGACCTCAGCTGTCCCTCCTGCCAGGACTGGTGGTTAATGAGCAGCCCTGCTGAGGGGCGGGCCCACTGGGTGCTGGAGAGCGCCGTCCCTCCGTCCCTCCTCCCTTGTCTGGTCTGCCCTGTGCGAGGAGCGTCCTGACCATGTCCCGGCTGATGGAATGTGTCCCCAACTTCTCAGAGGGGAACAACCAGGAGGTGAGGCGCCAGGGGGGCTGGCTGGGGGCAGCACACGGGGCTCAGGGTGAGGAGAGGGGGCTGCTTGGTGTGCAGTTGGGGGTCAACTTCTCTCAAAAGGGATGAGCCCTGTGAACGTGGGGGACCTAGAGGTGACCGACCAGGGGAGGAGAGGGCAGGGGTGGGCAGTCAGGATGGGGTCCTGGCCCGCGTGGTTATGCCTCCCCTCCCCACGCCTGGAGGGGTAGGCGCTGTTGTCATCTCCAGTGCTCCTACAGGGACACTGAGGCATGGAGTTGGGTAGGCCAGCGAGGGCTACGGAGCAGCTGGGCCCTGAGCCCTTGCTCCCAATGTTGGGCCATCCTGTGGCCTCGGAAAGTTCTAGGCCCTTCATGCTCCTCCCTGATGCAGAAGCTCCTGCTGGTGGCTGGGCCCTGACCTCTGACCTTGGCCTGTAGGTCACCTTGTCAGAGCCCTAGCAGCCCTCCCCCTGGGTCTGCTTCCTGCCTCAGTTTCCCCTGGAGGGTCCTGCCCATTATGCCTCCTTCGTAACCCTGTCCTGACCGTGGGTCCCCCAGGCTCCTGCTCTCTGAGGAGTCCCCAGTTGCTTAGCACCAGCTTCTCAGGCCCATGTTCGAGGTGTCAGGAGAGGCACGGCCCCCTTGAAGCTCCTGTTCCCTCTTCCAAGTGGGGAAACTGAGGCATGGGGCTGGGCTTTCGTGCCCAGGTGATTGACGCCATCTCCCAAGCTGTGGTGCAGACCCCAGGCTGTGTGCTGCTGGACGTAGATGCCGGCCCCTCCACCAACCGCACCGTCTACACCTTTGTGGGGCGGCCTGAGGACGTGGTGGAGGGGGCCCTCAATGCCGCCCGGACTGCCTTCAGGCTCATCGACATGAGCAGGCACAAAGGTGAGGGGTCCGGAGCGTCGGGGCTGCTGTCCTGCCCACAGGGTGCGGTGCAGGGGTGGGGGCCAACCCAGCAGGCTTCTTCTTGGGAGTCTCAGGCGCAGCCCGTGGAACATGCTATGCTGGGTGAAGGTGTGTGGCACCCCCTGTCCATGTTTCAGGGGGTCCTCAAGAGCCACTGGCAGTGAGGCTGACACTCTGCTGCAGGCCCTGGAGGCTGGAGGCAAGACATGGCCTGCTGGAAACCGGCCTGTCGACAGCCCACAAAACCAAACACGTTCACTGCAGCAGGCAGGGTCAAGGGTCGCTGGACACACGGGGAGCTGGCCAAAAGGTCAGGGTCTCTGGCCGCTCACAGCAGGGGACGCCAGGCCCTTGAGGAGCGAATTCCTAAGTGATCCCATCTGGGGAAGAGATAGGAGGCTTATCTGGAAGCAAGGAGCTGAGGGTGGAAGATGTGGGGGATGGGGGCTCGCCATCTTGAGGGTGCTGCTGACCTGCATCTTGGTCTGACCCACAGCAGGGGGAATCAGGTTATAAGAAGGGTGCTCTGTAATGTGGCATGGACCCACACCCACCAGGGGAGGGAGGGCTGGGTGGCAGGAGCCCGGCCAAGACGGCCTGGCAGCCTGGCCAGAGCTCACGTGGGAAGGTGTCCTTGCGGCTTTTAGGAGAGGGAGGGGTTTACCACAAGGATGTCCAAATACTGGGGCGCTTCTTCTCCCAGGGTCCCTGTGGTCAGCGTGAACACTGGGTGTGTGGATGCGGGCGGGGTGGAGCAGGAGACGGCGGGGGTCTGCGAGAGCCCATGGGGCCCATGCCCACCCCTGGACCTCCCTTCCTCAGCCTCTTCTCTCTGCAGGGGAGCACCCGCGAATGGGTGCCCTGGACGTGTGCCCCTTCATCCCAGTGAGGGGCGTCTCCATGGATGAGTGCGTGCTCTGTGCCCAGGCCTTTGGCCAACGGTTGGCAGAGGAGCTTGGGGTGCCAGGTGAGTGCCCCCAGGAGGGGCTCCCCAGCCCCTCCTCACTCTACTTCAGTCCCATCAGCAGCGGGGCATCCCTCATGGTTCTCTTCTCCTGACTCCTTAAAAATGCTGATTATTTTTAAAAACCTACCATGAGTGAACTCACGTGAAGGGAAATGTCCCGCTCCTTGCACGATGAGATAAATGCCAGTAGGAACACGAGGATGCGCCCAGTGTCAGGGAGCAGTGGGGCGCTCACACGTTGCTTGGTGGCAGGAACCCTGCAGCCACTCTGTAAAGTAATTTAGCAAGACAGACGGAGAGCCCATGCCCCCCAGTAGAATAATTCCACTTTGGGGAGTTAACCAAATCAAGAAAATGACATGGGACAGATGGAGACAAGCTGGAGACGAAGTGCCTGCCCAGCACAGGGGTCTGCATGAAGGACAGGACACGTGCGCACGTACGCAAAATCTAGCCCATGTGGGTGTAGGCCCCACGCACAGACTGAGGCACCCTGCCTCGGTGCCACAGTGGTTGTGGACGTGTCAGGGGTTTGGGCTGAGGTTTCTTTTCTTTCCTCTGTGTCCCTTGATCTGTAGTCTCGGTCATTGTGCAGTGAAAAGACCTTGTGGGAAGGAACGTGAGCATCTCTCCACCCCGCATGCCCACTCCTAACTCTTGTAATCACAGCAACGGCTTTTTTGGGGCATCTGTGCAGGGGGAGCAGCAGAGCAGGGGTCCTGGCCCATCAGGAGTATCCATTAGCCACCACCCACACCTGTCCCACGCAGCACAGAGAAAGGGGCGCTCCCCATGAGATGGGAGCCACGAGAAGGCTGCCCCAGGGCTGCGGCTGGCTGGATTGGGCCGCCTTGTTTCTCCTCTGGGAATGGGGTTTCTGGACCGCCCACTGGCCAAGGACCTGACCAGCAGGCCCCCCTTGCAGTGTACCTCTACGGCGAGGCAGCACGGACGGCCAGTCGCCGGACCCTGCCAGCCATCCGGGCTGGGGAGTATGAAGCCCTTGCTGAGAAGGTGCTGTGTCCCCACTGAGGGTGGGCAGGTCTGGGGGTGGACCCTGCAGGGGTGGGTGCCATCCTTCTTCCCCCTCCCCAACTCTGGGGATACCCCCTCCCATGTGGGACATCCACCCCAGGGTAATTCTCCCCACAGCTTAAGCAGACTGAATGGGCACCCGACTTTGGCCCCAGCTCCTTCGTCCCCAGCTGGGGGGCCACTGTCACTGGGGCACGGAGGTTCCTTATCGCATTCAACATCAACCTGCTCAGCACCAAGGAGCAGGCACACCGCATCGCCCTCAACCTGAGGGAGCAGGGTCGCGGGAAGGACCAGGTGAGCAGCAGCCAGGCTCATGGCCCACTGTGCCCACGGAATCCCGAGGGGCCCACGGGAGAGCGTCAGAGGCTGGATGGGCTGGGGTGTGGACCTGCTGACCAGCCCAGCCTCAGGGTCCATGCCACTCGGGGCCGGGCAGGGTCAGGGCTCCAGGGTTTGAAGTTGAGGAGGACATCTTCAAAGTATGTCTCCCATGGGAGCAGGCAGGACTGTGCCTATTGTTACAATATTCAGCATTTCCATACTGACATGGAAACGCTACTTCTCAACCCCAGGTGCCCCCACACACCTCCAGGTGCCCCCAGGTACACTCAGTTATTCCCAGGTGCCCTCACACACCTCCAGGTGCCCCTGGGTACACTCAGGTACTCCCAGGTGCCCCCACACACCTCCAGGTGTCCCAGTGCCCTGACCCACCAAGTCTGCCACAGCAGCTGTCACCTAGTTTGACCTCACCCCTGCAGAAAGTCCAGGTTGGACACAGGTAGACACAGAGACACCCGGGGAAGGAGGCGGAGGGTGACACCCTGCCCACCTGTCAGCACCCCGCCCCCCAGAGACCGGGGTCCCACCAGGCAGCTGATTCCTGCTCCTCAGACTCAGTTGTCTGTGGGCACAACACAAAAGCACAGTGAACCCCAGATCCTTCTTAAGGTCCTGCTGAAGTCAGAGGTCAAAGTTCCCTCCTCAGGTGGACTGAGTCACCCCAAGGAGCAAGGGGCTGAGAGCCAGCCCCTGGGATTAGGGGTGGATAGGAGGAAGACACTGAGCACAGGAGTTTGGAGTTGGGGGGGTGGCCCTGGGCTGGCTCCCAGGACATGGGTGTGGGTAGATGCTAGCCAGAGGCAGGGCCTGGTCTGAGCCTTGTGATTATGAGGGTGGGCATCGCAGCACCTGATGCTTTGGGGCCTCAGTTTCCCTGTGGTGGGTGGGCTCCTCCTGGCTCCACAGATGAGAGAGCCAGAGAATGAGCAGGAGAGCCAGACTCGGACATGCCATCGGGCAGAGCCCCAGACACACTCCAGGCCATGTGGGCCAGTGTGCCGGCTGCCCTCCGTGGTGCCCTTGTCCCGGTGTCTGGAGAGGAAGGGAGCCTCGGCCAGTAGGGGCTCGGGGGCAGGTACTCTCCGTGCGGGCCCCAGGAGAGGCTGGCGGGGCCTGGACTAGGAAAGGCTTTTGCTTTGCAGCCAGGATGCCTGAAAAAGGTTCAGGGCATTGGCTGGTACCTGGAGGAGAAGAACCTGGCTCAGGTTTCCACCAACCTCCTGGACTTTGAGGTCACAGGGCTGCACACGGTCTATGAGGAAACCTGCAGAGAAGCCCAGGTGAGCAGGGCGGGTGTCCCCTGCTGGTTGAAGGGGGGGGGTCCATCCAGGTGAGGATGGCTGGTGTCCCCACCACTCTCCAGGGTGTTCTCGAGTCCAGCGCTGCAGGTGTTGATGCTGCTCAACCTCTGCAGGAGCTGAGCCTTCCAGTGGTGGGCTCACAGCTCGTGGGCCTGGTGCCTCTGAAGGCCCTCCTGGACGCCGCCGACTTCTACTGTGAGAAGGAGAACCTCTTTGTCCTGGAGGAGGAGCACCGGATCAGGCTGGTGGGCTGGGTTCCATGTGAGGGATTGGGCTGGTGGGGCAGCAAACGGGCTTGAGGGAGCAGGTCCCCACACCCACAGCTGGAGGCCCGCAAACCCACAGCTGGAGACCCCCACGCCCATAGCCTAAGGGCCCCACGCCCAGGCCCAGAGCCCCCTCGCTGGCCTCATTCCTCCTTTTTTGTTTAGTTGTCTGTGCTTAGAAGGTGAGATCATACTATTTTCATTTTGGGCACACTATTGAGGTTTTCTTTGTGACCTAAAATATGTTCAATCCTGTAAAGATTCTGTGGAGAGGAGGGTACACCCAGCTTCCTTATTCCCTTCTGGGGTCTGTCTTGGAGCTGCGTGGCTCTGATGAAGGACGTGGCCCTCCCTCTTGCACATCTGGATCGGGGTGTGTGAATCTACTGCCCCTACTCAATAGATTATTTGTGCCACGTGACACCTTGGCCTGGAATTCCTCACGGCCGCAGAGCCTGCTCCAGGTGTGCACGTCCTTTGCCGTCCTGTCACTCTGGCCTCTGAGTCATGTCATTTGGAGGGTGTTTCTTATGATGAGTGCACGACTGTGTTTGGTGTTGAGTTATCCTTGAGCATCTGCTGACTGAGCAGGCACATCTGGACTGCTTTTGTTCTGCTTCCAGGTGTGTGTGGGGGAGGGTGTGGCTTCCTTCTGCTTATGTGGCAGAGTTAGTTTGTTTTTAGGTATTTGGGTAATTATAATGTTGACGCAAATAAACAATAACCACTGTACAGATAGGAGAGATGAGGTGAGTTTCACTTGAGCCAGGATTTCAATCCGGGAGAGCAGCTTTCACAAAGGAAGAAATTGCTCAGGAGAAGCGTGGTTTTCAGTACAGTTTTATACCTTCTTAGAACACAGAACATGCATCAAACACGCCTGGGATACGTCTTCATCAAAGTGGCAAAGACACTCAGCTGCGCATTAGCGGGTCCACATGACCCTGATGTCGGGAAAGGGAACTCCTCGGGAGTACTGATGTGGGCGTTAGGGATGCTGGAGTCCTGGGAGGGAAGTATGCGCCCGTATCTTCAAAGAGTGCATTCTTGTACTTTGAGATAATGTTTTACACACTGTTTACTTCACTGGTTAAGGCAGATGTAGAATGTCTGTCTGATAGGCGAAGTCAGGCTTCTTAGTTCAGGCTGAATCAGGGTCAAACCAGAATAGGCGCCCCATATACCTCAGTATGTGAAAATTTCTTATCAATAACTTAATATATTTATCTCTACTTTTTCATTTTAAAATTTTATCCAGATTTTCTAATTTTTCAATTTGACTGCCTTCTATGAAAATGGGAAAATAAATACGCAGCATTTACTCTCATCTTTTCTTCCTCCTCTATTTCCTGATTTCTCAGAATTGTTATTTTTTTTAGGGGGGGTTCTTTTGCTGGCTAACTTTTTTTTATTGTGGTAAAATACACATAACATAAAATTTACCATCTTGACCACTTTTACATCTACAGTTCAGTGGTGTTAAACACACTCACAATGTTGTATAGCCATCGGCACCGCCAGGATGGGTTTTCCGTTTCTGCAGCATCGTGGTTAGGATTCCGACAGTGGCGGCACTGGCTCTGTGGACTGCCTTGGGGGGTGTTGCCGTCCCAGCCGCGGGAAGTCTTCCAGTCCCTGCGCACAGGCTGCGTTTCCACTGATCCGTGTCTTCCTTCGCTTCTCACCTCAGTGGTCTCCAGAGTCCTCGTACAGGTCTCCCACCTCCTTGGTTGAGTTAATTAATTCCTAAGTATTTTATTCTTTTTGATGCTGTTGTGAATGGAATTGTTTTTGTGATTTCTTTTTCAGATTGTTCATTGTTGGTGTATAGAAATGCAATTGACTTCTGTGTCTTGACTTTGTGTCCTGCTATCTTGCTGAATCTATGAGTTCCAGGTGGTTGAATTTTTAAGTTTAAATAATATTCCTTTAGCTCTTTATCAGTGTTGGGCAATGTCTGTGACTCTTGGTGAAGAAAGAAGAAAATTAATGCACTTTGGTGAGCGCTCATCTCTGCTCCAGATTTCAATTGTGTTATTTTTACATTGTTGAATTTATAACATTTAGCTTCTGTAACCACGTCCACAAATATTAAATATATTAAATATCTGCAGATATCTGATCTTAACTCCACGTTACGTCAGTGAGGCCCAGATGCACCTCTGTCCTTCACGCAGTCTCCCTACTGGTCCGTCTGTCTGGATTTCAAAATCAAGTGGACTTTTAAAGAAAAGTCATGGGGGTTTTATTCTGTAGGTTCTGGCAAGTTTGGGAATGTCTTTCTGTGAGTTTATTCTCGCAAGACAGTTGGGCAACCAGAATTCCAAGTCACTTGTTTGTCCCTGAAAATGTTGCAAACATCTTTACCCTTTTCTAGAATTAAATGTCACACAGTGGGGGGTATCTACGGCCCCCTGACTGTCCCTCACCCCAGGTGGCTTGTTCTTTCTCTGTGATGCCTGAAGAATTCCTTCTTTATCCTTGAAATTCAGTGACTCTGCCATATATGTCTTGGGTGTTGATTTTTCCACATCGTGTTTTTGTGATTAACAGATTCCATTCTTGCTTAGTTTCAGGAATATTTTCTTCTGTTATATTTTTGACCCAGTTGTTTGGTTCTTTTGCTTTAGGGACAGCGATTTCATGGCAGTAGCATTTTCTGTCTTCTATATATCCTGCCCTTTCTCTACTTTCTTTCCATTTCTTTCCCCTTATAGTCACTGTGGTTTTTTCAAATCTAGCCAAGTTGCTGATACACTTTACAGCCAGGACTGCTCTCTTTCTAGCTGTTACAGCTGCTGTGTGACTTTTTATTTGGATGTGACTTCCTACTCACAGAAGAGGTGCAGGAATCGTGCGAGGTCCCCGTCCTCTCCAGGTCCACCAGGTGTTGGCATGTTGCCCACTTGCTTAATCATTCTGTCTGTATTTGTGCATCATTGCATTGTTCTTTTTTTTTTTTTTTTAAAGATTGGCACCTGGGCTAACAACTGTTGCCAATCTTTTTTTTTTTTTCTGCTTTATTTCCCAAACCCCACCCCGGTACATAGTTGTATATCTTAGTTGCAGGTCCTTCTAGTTGTGAGATGTGGAACGCCGCCTCAACGTGGCCTGACGAGTGGTGCCATGTCCACGCCCAGGATCCAAACCCTGGGCCACTGCAGCAGAGCGTGTGAACTTAACCACTTGGCCACGGAGCCGGCCCCCATCGCGTTGTTCTTTTCGGGACCATCTGACAGTAGCTGAAGACCTTGTGGCCCTTTAGCCCCTGATTTATTCAGGGTGTATTTCTTAAGAACAGGGACGTTCTCTTACACAACCACAGTATGATGATCAAAATCAGGAAATTCAACATTAATAAAATTCTAGTATCCAGTCTACAGACCATAATCAAATTGCATCAATGTCCCAATAATTTCCATTATAGCTATTTATCCTCCAATCCCAGATCAATCCAGGTAACACAATGCATTTAGCTGCCATGTCTTTTACAGCCTTTAACCTGGAACAGTTCCTGTCCTCCTTTTCCTTCACTGACCTTGACAGACTCTAACATGCAGGGTAGTTGTTTTGTAAAGTGTCCCTCACGGGGTCCTGGTCTGACGTTTCTCGTGACTAGACGTGGTTGGGCATCTTTGGCAGAAGCAGCACAGAAGTGATGTGGTGTCCTGGGCGCCAGGTCATGAGCCCTGAGGTGCCCATTTATCCGGGTAAACTTGGGGTAAACTGGATCCCTTGACAAGGTGGTGTTTCCCGCTTGGGTTATTCATTGCAATCTTTCTACTTTTCCTTTTGTAATAAGCTCTGTGTGGGGAGGTGATTTAAGAATATGTAGGGGCCGGCTCCGTGGCCGAGTGGTTAAGTTCACGTGCTCTGCTGCAGTGGCCCAGGGTTCGGATCCTGGGCGCAGACATGGCACTGCTCGTCTGGCCACGTTGAGGTGGCGTCCCACATCCCACAACTAGAAGGACATGCAACTAAGATATACAACTGTGTACGGGGGGGGGCGGGGGTTGGGGAGATAAAGCAGGGAAAAAAAAAAAAGAATATGTAAACACCCTATTCCTCTTGAAATTCCAGACACAAGTTTTAGCCGCCATTGATGATTTTCTAACTTCATCCTTTTCCTGTCGGAAAAAGCTTTAGCCTCTCCTAGTGTTTGATGCTCTTTTCTATTTTTGGCATCTTATCTTGTATCCTTTATCTGGAAGTTCTGATGCCTGCAGCCTTTGAGGGTCTGATTTTGCACCTTGTTGTGTCTACTGACTCTCTCTCATGGTGACTTGCTTCTTCATGTGTTTTGTGATTTTTGGTTGTGAGTGCATATTCTTTGAAGTTTTATCTGTGGTAATTATTGGACACCTTCATTTAAAGTTTGTGTTGGCCTCTGTTAGGTGCTTGGGGACACTACCATGCGGGGCCACTTTAGACTGAGTCTTTTCTCTGGAACTACACAGGCAGAGAAATCTATGGGAACCGTGGCCTGTATCCCATCAGGGTGGCTTGTGGTTAGAATTCCCAGGAAAGATTTTTTTCCTGCTTCGCAAAAGGGAAGGCAGAGACTGGAAAGTATCCCAATTATTTCCTCCAGAGGGTGGTTTTCTCTTATTCATCCTTGGTGATGTTCTCTTCCAGGGGTCTCCAGTCTCCCTACCTCTTGAGGGCTGGAGACCTCCCTCCTTCAGGGCGAGCAGGCCTCTGTGGTTCACTTCTGTCATTTCTGGCATTGAGTGACCTCCTTACTTCCCACCAGCTTAGGCAAGCATTTAAATTCATTTAAATGATTCTGTTGATCTTTCTGAGGTCGTCTGTGCCAGGAGGACTCTGCCGTGTTGCCTGCTGACTCTTGGGGGTGCTCTTTGTTTCCACGTTTGTGGGGAGAGCTCACGACACCCCGGGGCCCACTGGCTTGTTTCTCTCAAGCAGCAGTGTTGGCCTTTTTGGCTCAGAACAGGCTGAAGCTGGGTGCTGGCATATAACACTGTAAAGCATCTTGAGTGTTTTTTGGTGGGAAGAATTCTAATCTAAATGGGGATTGTTCCAACTTTATTTTGAATTTAGGTAGAAGTCACTTTTCCTCACATAGCAAGTCTTGTGTTTAGGCGAGTCAGGCAACTCCTGGACTTTAAGAACCAGTGAGACCCTGACACCTGAAGAGTCACAATCTTGTCCAAAGAGGCAGATTCTGTGGCCCCTTCCAGCACCAGGTGTGTGGGGTCATCTGTGGGACACACGAGAAGGGCCCCTGTGGTTTGGAATGAGGGTCAGTTCGCTGAGGGATCACCAGTGGGTACTTTCTCTCTCTGGGACTCAGTTTCCCTGGGGTTACACAGGTGGGCTGATGTGTCAGGAGGTCTGCACAGGCAGCCTCCCTGGGCTGGCGGCTTTCTGGGGGAGTGGGGCCCGGCTTGGACGGGGAGCCAGCGGTCAGCAGGGCTCCCAGTGGGCAAGGAGTGCCATCACTATGCCCCTGCTTGGTTCCCCACATAAAGGGTCAGGACAGGAAGGCCACCGTGAGCTGAGGTGGGACCCTGAGCAGTGTGTGGCCTTCCTCCCATGTGGGGACAGGCCCTGTGACTCGTCCTCACCAGCCCCTCTTCTCTAGGTGGTGAGCCGGTTGGGCCTGGACTCCTTGTCCCCCTTCAACCCTAAGGAACGGATCATTGAGTGAGCAGCCCCTCCATGTGGAGACCTGCCTTAGTCCTTCCAGAGCCTTCCACTTGGTCACATGTTCATCAGCAAACACCAGAGTGCCTATGCCAGGCGTGGGGTGGGGGCTCGTTGGGGGGTGCAGCGAGGCCCCAACAAGGTCTCACTCTGTCCTCATAGGGGCTGCTGGGTGTCATGGCCCTGGCCAGGCTGCAGCTGCTCTGCAAACCGGGACCTCTCTCCCTTGTTGACCAGGGCGGGGTCTTGGGGGTGGCCTGGAGTTAGGAACCGGAGTCTGAGTCAGCCCTGCCCTCACAGCCTGGCAGTTATCACCCAGAACCCCATCCCCATCCCTGAACTACCCTGGACCCCGTCCCCCATCCCCAGCCTCACCCTCCCCTCCAGGGCCTCACCTAGCCACCTCCTCCCCTCAGGTACCTGGTCCCTGACAGTGGGCATGAGCAGAGCCTGGTGGACAAGCCCCTGTGCACCTTCATCCGTGAGGTGGGCGCCCGCACAGCAGCTCCGGGGGGTGGCTCGGTGGCAGCTGCCAGCGCGGCCATGGTAAGTGGGGACTGGAGCCAGGGCTGAGGCCAGAGGTGAGGACAAGGATGAGGACAGGGGCGAGGTGGGGCAGGGACATAGGTGGGGACAGGGGCAGGGGCACGGGCCTGCAGTTCTTTCCCACACAGCTGGCTTCTCTCTCTGCAGGGTGCTGCGCTGGCCTCCATGGCCGGCCTGATGACCTACGGGCGGCGCCAGTTCGAGCACCTGGATGCGACCATGCGGCGCCTGATCCCACCCTTCCATGCTGCCTCAGCCGAGCTGACCACTCTGGTGGATGCTGATGCCCATGCTTTCCAGGCCTGCCTGGTGAGAGCAGAGGGGCTGCATGGCCACAGAGGTGGTCCTGAGCGAGAGAGGGGTCAGGGACGGCGGTCAGGGGGCTGCGGCAAGCGCAGGTGTCTGGAAACCAGGAGCAGCTGGTGAGGGACAGCGGTCTGGAGGCTGCTGGGCCCCTGTCCTGCTAATGCAGGGTTGAGTCCAGCAGGTTTGAGGGTTTGGCCCAGGCGTGCCCCCAGGCTGGCATCTGTGCCGTGGCAGGGTGGGGTGGGAGGGAGTAAAGGGCACCTCTGGGGATCAGCCCAGGCTCAGCACCCCCCACCCCAGCTGCCCGCTGAGCCCTGAGATAGGCTGGCACTCAGACCTGCCATCGCCAGAGGAATGCATGGTCCCTAGAGATGAGCTCGCATTCCAGGAAGGGCAGGCGGCAGAAATCTTAAAAGAAGAAAAGCTAGTGATTAATGGTCTCAGAGAGATCAGAGAAGACATTTCAGACATCGGACAAAAAGGCCACATGGAGAGCTGGGACATCTTCACCGTCACACAGCGGGTCTGCTCCAGATAAGCTCATCCCAGACTGGCTGGGTGTCAGGTGGGAAACAGGGAAGGGACGGTGCTCAAAACCCAGAGCAATGGCCTGGGAACATGCAGAAAGGTCAGAGCCGGGAGTTCAAGGTCCAGAAGTCCCACCACGTGTCTGAGAGCAGGACCCAGGAGTGGCGGGAATGACGGAGCTCAGACTCACCAGGCGAGTGAGGACGACCTGCCCTGGAAGGTGTGAGCTCCACAGACTCACGTCCCAGAGGCTCAGGACAGGGCTGCATCACGGGCAAGACTGAGTGTGAAGGCAGGGCTCAGGACAGGGGCCAGGGCTCAGATTTCCGCCGTGACCTCTGGGGAATGCATGTGGGCTGTGCGCCCCAAAGTGAATGCTGGGTCCACACAGGGAAGAGTCAGAGTTTCATCCAAATAAGTCTCGATACAGGAGGAGGTAACCATCTAACCAAAGTTCGTGTCACCAGGAGGGAGGTGCAGCTACTGATCACCTTATTCTGTTGTTTTTAAATGTGAATTTTACATATGTGCTTTTTAAGATGGGTGAAACCTTCAGGAGGTTCTGAACTCATGGGGCGGAAGGGCAGCCGTGAGCCGTCCCGGCGCCTGCCTCCGCAGCACCCTTCTTGCCAAACGGCGCAGCCTCCAGAGCTGCCCGAGACACTTTTGTATATTTGTGTACGTCCGATTTTTCTTTTTTCTCCTTTCTTACACAAATGGCGATGCATGTATTCTCAGGTTTGCCTTTTGCATTCCTCACTGGACGTTCTGTCAGATCTTTCTGTATCAATGCGTGGAGACCCCCACCCAGCTGCCCAGGGTTCCGTGGACGCACAGTTGTAATGTCTTCGACCAGCCCTGCCGGGATTTAGGCCGTTTCCAGTCTGTACGTGGGCATTGCAATGTGGACAACCCCAGCATCCGTAGCTGGGTGAGCGGTGGGCAGTCTGAGAGTGATTCCTAGAAGGACTTGCAGCCCATGCTGGGTGCCTTTCTCATTTCAAAAGATGCTGCCAACTGGCTCCTATGGAGCTTGCATGGAAGGAGCCCCTATGGCATGAATCTGCCCTTCTTCTGTGTCTCTCGGCCATGAGACGCCCTCATACCACCGCGCTGTCATGCGTGCGCTTCCCACAGTGAGCAGGCAAGGCGTCCTCACACTCGTCACATGGTTCGAGTCCTCTTCAGGAAGGTGTCCTTCCTCCCGGGTCTGTCGTAGGGCTTTTCCTTACTGCTGACCAGGACTTCTTTATGAACTCGAGGATGGTCTGCCTGCTGCCCTGGTTTGTTGTTTGTCTTCTGACATTGCTGGTTTCTGACAGTAGGAGTTTTGTGTTGTTGTTGAATATGCAGTCTTTCATTTGCTCTTGTCTGGGTTTCGTGTCATGGTTTAAATGGCCCCTAGACCAAGCATATTGAACTTCTCCCACGGTACTTTCTAGACTTTTATGGTCTGATGAACTTCAGATGTTGAGAGGTGTTGAAGGAGAAGCATCAGTTTAATAACAAGTATTAAAGAAATAGGGCTACCCACTGGAGATGAGAAATGAGATGAAAAATTGGAAAGCACGAGGAGAGGGAGTGGAAAATGGAAATCTAATCAAAAGCTAGGAAAGAGAAAGGAAAGCAATCAAAGATGTGTGGCTGAGGGAAAACCTAGAAGACAGTGTGAGCTGTCGACGGTCTCACAGGGATGCAAAGGTCAGTGCCGCGTTGGCTATGTTTCCTGAGAGCAGCGAAAAGATAGACTCGAAGAAAAATAAGACAACATCCTTATCTTGCACCAAATACATAAGTAATTTCCACGTGGAGTAAAAAGCCAGCTGCGAACCTCCCCCCAAAACAAACTTTGCAGTAAATCAGAAAACAAATCCAACTCTGGTGGGCAGGCCTCTTGACCCAGCGCAGATGTGGCCATGAGCGGCGGGCTTGACTGAAATCAGCAACTTCTGCTGGGGAGGTCCCCAGCCCCTGCAGCATGACGGCAGCCGGGTCACCATCCTGCGCGAGCCTGGCTCCAGGCCCCCGGGGCGGATGCCTGCAGAGGGACCTACAGTCACGGGGTCGGAGGACAGGCTAGTCTGGACTGTCAGTGTGTCAACTGCCGTTACCAGCACAACAGCAGGTCCAGTTCTTGTCGGGTTGGGGGTCATTGCTCCCACGTGTGGCTGACGGAAGTGGCGACTGGTAATGCCTTTTGGGTGGAGCTTTGGCCAAATCTACAAGACTGTATCAGCTACAGTCCCCACCCGGCTGTGCCCATGGGCCCATCCAGAAGTCCTGGGGTGGACAGGGCCAGACACTGGGTGTGATGGGACAGCCTGGACATGGCCACACTGGCAGCACAGGGATGCGTGCAGGAGGGGAGGCCTGCGTCGTGGTGGCCAGTCCAAGGAGAGCGAGATCACTGTGTGGGGAGGACAAATCCAGCAGGGCCACTCCTTGGGGATGGCTGGGTTGGGGATGGGGGCGGCTGGACCTTTCATGCCCAGACTCTGGGGGTTGCGCAGTTCCCCGTGTTAATGCGCTAGCGGTGACTGTGTGGGGGCTGTGGGCGGGGGCGGGGCTGGATGACTTGCCTTCCCTTTGACCCCTGAGGGCACCACCCCCTCTTTTCCAGTGTCTTAGTGCCCGATGTGGGGTCCCTGAACCCAGCTGCCCTCCTCTGCCCGGGGCCAAACGCCAAGGACTTAAACCATGGAACCTGACAGAAGGGCTGTCCCCAGAGCGCATCTGTGCCCTGCAGAAATGCCGGCCCCTCGGGTGGTGATGTGGGTGCTGTACGAGACAGGCCCTCACCCTCCCAGGCTCTCCGCGTGGCCCCGGATGTGGCTGCTGCTCACCATGTGCATTTCTGTGTTTTGTTCTGCCAGGAAGCGATGAAGCTGCCCAAGAACACACCTGAGGACAGGGAAAGGTGAGTGCAGCAGTGGCCGCGGGGGTGGTGCCCCCTCACCGTGGACACCAGGTGCCTTGAAAGGACCTAGGTCCTATTCACTCCTCCCTCTGGGGTGTGTTTGTGATGAAAGACTGACTTCCCTGTTGTCCCCCCGCTCTGGTTAACTGCTCAGAGTGGAGCCGTTGGGGTGGGTCTGGCTGTCCCTGGGTGCCCCAGACTCTGACCATTGACGCCTTTGTTTCAGGCGTGCAGCCGCCCTGCAGGAGGGACTGAGGCGGGCAGTGGCCGTGCCCCTGGCACTGGCGGAGACCGTGGCCTCGCTGTGGCCGGTGCTGCAGGAGCTGGCCCTGTGCGGGAACCTGGCCTGCCGGTCTGACCTGCAGGTGCGAGTGGGGCCTAGCCTCCTGCTGTGGGGGAGCTTGTGGAGTGTCATTGGGAGACTGTGGCCATTTGTTGGGTATTTACTGAGCCAGGCCTGGACTTGAGTGCTTCACCAGGGTGGTCTTGTTCAGTCTCGTGCAGCAGGGCTGGCTTGTGTAGCCCATTTTAGGATGGGAATTAAGGATCTTGTTCGAGGTTGCACAACAGAGAGGCAAAGACTCAAATGTGTCCCCAGAGTCCACCCCTAAGCACGCTCCCCCAGACCCTCCTGGCAACTCCTCCCCTCCCCCGCCCCCTCCTTCCTTCTTGTCACCCCCTTCTTGTAGAAAACTCCGAAGGCAGCTCACAGACATGCACACGGTGCCCTGTCCACAGCCTGCATGTGGTGGGCTCGGGACCAGGGGCATCGGAGCAGGCTCTGCTTTCTGCAGCCCGTCCTGAGGCCCCACAGTTCGCAGGGTCTTTACAAGAAAGACACCTGTTCCAGTGTCTGGTCCTGAGGCCTCAGAGAAGTGTCCCCTTCTTCCCTGTGGAGGTCACTGTGTGCGAGTTGTTGAGGATGTTCCAGAAGGCGCCTGCCATAAAGGCTGATGTTCCTGCCATCCCAGGTTCCTCTTTGGGCCCCAGCCCCTGCTCCAGCCGTGTCCTTGGCCTCGTGGGGTCCTGTGAATGTTTGATACTCACTTGTTAGTTATTTATTTAGTTAGTTAGCTGCGGCCCTGCGCCGAGGAGTGGGCAGATGGAAGAGTGGGTGACCATCCCTGTCCGGCGGCTGTTGCAGGTGGCAGCCAAGGCCCTGGAGACAGGTGTGTTTGGTGCATATTTCAACGTGCTCATCAATCTGAAGGACATCACCGATGGTGCATTCAAGGACCAGGTGAGCAGCAGGTGCATGAGGCAGGCCCGTGGAGGCGCCTGAAGACGGCTCTCAGGGCCACGGTTTGCAGATGCGGGGCCTGTACCCCAGGCCGGCAGGTCCTCGAGGGAAGCATCCACCTGGTGAGACATTGCCCTGGCCTCCTGCAGGTGGACGAGGCCTGGCCTGCGGTCCGCGAGCGTCGAGGGCGGCCACTGTTCTCTCAGGGTTTCTGTGGAGGCAAGTGGCCCTGGTGCCCGCTGGCCCCCTTTCCCTCCAGGGGTCTCTAGCCGGGCCTGGGCCCATCTTGGGTGGGGGAAGGGGAGCGGGGAGCTATGGAGATCAGAGCCCCGGTTCCCTGGATGTAGCTGCTCCCGGCCACCCCAGCCTGCCCACCTTACCCACCTTCCCGGTGGGGCTGCCCAGGGTTGGGGTCCCCGGGTGAGCTGGACCACAGCACCCGCAACATGATCCTCAAAGAATGCTTGCCACCCGCGGTGTTACCTTAGCTTCAGCATTCATGATAATATCCTTGTTATTGTTATTGAGGTAAAATTCACAGAACATGCGAGTCACCATTTTACAGAGTACAATCCAGGGTATTTACACATTTATGATGTTGTACGACCACCCACTCTTTCAAGTTCCAGAACATTCTCATCGTTTCAAAGGAGACCCCACACTCATTAGCAGAGACCACCATTCCCCTGCCCCCAGCCTCAGCTGCCACCCATCTATCCTTGTGATTTTGTGATAATCTTTAAAAAGCAATTTCACAGTTCAGAAAGGTGGCACTGTGGGCTTTTCAGGGGCCAGCCCCTGTCCCCACCTGCCTGCTCCAGCCAGGCTGAGCTTGGCCACCCAGGGAAGTCACTGTCCATCATGTCACCACATGGGCATGGAGTTAAAGGACTGGTCACGTGAGCCCTCTGGGCCTCGGGGACACAGCCTGCCCTTGACAGTCAAGGCTAAAGTGGGAAGACCAGGAGAGTGAAGGCCTGGGGCCTGGCTGTCCCCACATCCCAGGACAGACAGAGGGGCCCCTCCCATCCCCTCTGAGGACCTGCGAGGAGCTGGGGGTCCCCAGGTCAGGGGTTCAGGATCACCCCAGAGTGGACAGGCCATGGAGTGTGGCTAGAGAGGGTGCGAGAAGGTGGCAGGGAGGGCCTGGGCCTGTGGGTTCAGGCGGCAGGTGCAGGGTGATGACGGGCCCTGTGTCTGTCAGGCCCACCAGCGCATCTCCAGCCTCCTGCAGGAAGCCAAGACCCAGGCGGCGCTGGTGCTGGAACGCCTAGAGGCCCGGCAGGAGTGACACCGGGCGGGAGCCTTGCTGGACTCTGCATCCCTCAGTGGCCCCTCTTCCTCCTCCATGGTGTCCAACCTCAGCCGATGGGACAGGGCAGCCTCCGGACTTCACTGCTGTGGGGCCCGGAGGGGTGGGTGTGTGGGGGGGGTGGGAGCCTGTCTGGGGTTGGCAGTGTCACTGTCTGTCACCTGCGGCGTCCAGTAAAGTCACAGCACACCAGTGCCTGGTCCTGTGTTGAGCTGGGGGAAGGGCTGAGCTGAGCTGGCAGGTTGGGAGACCCTGTGGCAGTGGGCATGGGGAGATGGGGTTGGGGGAGATGGGGTTGGAGGAAATGGGGCACAGCACGAGTGACACATGGGCTTCAGGGTCCCACAGACGCCTGTGCGATGCCGCAGATCACTCGCGGCACCCTGGGGCCCGGTGCAGGGCGCCTGGCCTGAGCTGGCCCTGGGGTGGCGCAGGGGACAGAAGCCCCCACAGGGACAGCAGGCTCCTCCCTTCACGTGGAGGGAAGCCCCAGAGCTGCCTGACGGGGCAGGGCGGGCAGCGGGCCCTCTCGGGGGGCGTGGCGATCCGGTCACCGCGGGGCGGGTGAGGATGAGGAGGGGCAGGCTGCCGGGGAACCTCGGGGGCTCCCGAGTCCTGCCTGGGAGGGGCGAAGCGTCGGGGTCCCGGGAGTGGGGCGCCGCGTGCGCTGGGTGCTGGCTCCTCTCGCGGTGGGAGCTCGGGGTGAGGCCGGTGACTGGGTCCCCGGCTCCCCCTCTCCCCGCCCACCCTCTGCCTCTGCAGCCCCCGCAGGGCCTGGGCGGGCTGGACGGGCAGGGGCGTGGCGAGAGCATCCCCGCGGGCAGCCCAGGTCCAGGTGTGGGCGCGATGGGGATTGGGATCCGGCCGGGGGCGGCCGCGGGGCCTGGCTGGGGCTGCGGGGGAGCGCAGGAGGAGGGTGGCGGGCGTGGCTGCAGCGGCCCCGCCCTGGTCGGGGACACCCGGGGCGGGTGGTCGTGTGGCCCCAGGATGGCGCTGCCCTGAGGCTTTGGCCTCCGGTCAGCGGGGGTCGGCTCTGCGTGGGAGGGCTGGCACCACCACCGTGGGCAGGGTCTCCGTTTTGTGGTTTCCTCTGGGCGATGCGGGACGCAGTTCAAACCCAGGACGATGCAGGGACTCCCTCCCACCAGGCCCCGTTTACCCTCTTCTGGGAGTCACGGAACCCCCTTTTGTGCCTGTGTAGTGTCTATTTAGGCAACACAAGCCCGTGTGGACATACAGTCTTAGTTCCTCCTCGGCTCCATAAGAAGAGCAGGTCATATGCTGATGGCCTTTCTGCTGAACCACATGGCCAAGACCCCCTCTCAGTGTTTAGAGACTCGACTCACCTGTGTTGTACTCACTCGTCCTCTTCCCTGCCTTGCCTTGACCGGTTTGCTGTGAGATAAACACGTTCAGAAAGGTGCTCAGAACAGTGACTAACAGGGGCTGGCCAGCGGCGTAGTGGTTAGGTTCCCATGATCTGCTTGGGCGGCCAGGGATTCCCAGTTTGGATCCCCAGCACAGACCTTGCACTGCTGGTCAAGCTATGCTGTGGCACCATCCCACTCACAAAATAGAGGATTGGCACAGATGTCAGCTCACAGCCAATCTTCCTCACACACAAAATAATAATAATAAAAGTAATTTCGAGAGTACATCTTTCTTAAGCCAAGTGAGACCCCAAATGCCTTAAACACTTGATTCTGGTAAAAGACATCCCAACGCAGGGCAATGAAAAGAATCCTATTGGAAGGAAACAAAATCCAACGAATGTAACAGGCAAAGAGTTACTATCAACCAATACAGAAAGCTCCTGCAAAGATGTGGTATATACACACAATGGAATACTACTCAGCCATAAAAAAAGACAAAATCATTCCATTCACAACATGGATGGTCCTTGAGGGTATTATGTTAATCGAAAAAAGACAGACAGAGAAAGACAAACACCATAGATTTCACACAGATGTGGAAGATAAACAAAGACACGGAAAAAGAGAACTGCGTAGTGGTTACCAGGCGGAAGGGGGTGGGGGGATGGGCAAAAGGGTCGTGAACATGGGGCACGTTTATATGGTGACTGACATAATAACGCACAACTGAAATTCACGGTGTTATAAACTATTATGACCTCAATAAAAAAAGAAAAAGCTCCTACAAATCAAACTGAATAGGACAGTGCACCCTGGAGAGAGCTGACGTGTATGTGCACATGTGTGGTGGGTGTATTCCTCTGCATCTGCATGTGCATGCGTGCGTGCACGTGTGTGGTGGGTATATTTGTCTCTGTGTGCGTATGTGTTGGCATGTGTATGTGTATGTATGCAAATACAAGGAAAGTTCCAGGAGGGTCCCCAGCCATGGTAACTCTGGGGGTAGGTGTGCAGGGGGAGGGTCACCCTCACCGTGGCTGTGTATCTTCCCATGTGGCTTGAATCTGTTGGCAGCAAAAACACATTTGAGCACTACTTTATAGGAAATACACCCAGGATCTCCCTTGCCCCTGCTAAGCGAGCAGGCTGGTGGTGGTCACATGGGGAGCAGAGGGGCCTCAGGAAGTGAGGAATTGACACATGGTTTGCTGCTGACCCTGGCTAGAGGAGCTGACCCCAATGAAGGGCCTCTCCGACTTGGGGCGTGTGCCTCGCTTGGGTTCCTCCCGCAGCCCTGGCCTTGGCTCCCTGTTAGCTGTCCCCCACCCTGGGCTTTGTGGACGAGGGGCTGAGGCTGGGGTGGTCTCAGGTCAGAGCTGGGGTGTGAGCTGAGCTCAGCAGCCCCAGGAGGTGTCCAGCCGGTGTCCGTCTCCTTCCTCTCATCCTGGTGTCTCCGGAGAGCCATGCTGGACCCAGGTCCCTGCGAGCTGGATCTGTGCCCCTCCCTGTGACTGAGGCTGGGCTGGGCTGAGCCCCCTTCCATCCATGGCTCACAGGCTCAGACACCAGGCAGGTGTCACTGCTGTTGGTAACATCTCCCAGGGACCGAGCGAGACCCGGGGCCCTTCCCTGCAGGCCGCCAGCCCTGGTCCAGGGATGTGAGCAGGTGAGCTTTTTGGGGCGGGGAGGGGTGGCCACTTCTTCGGCCCTTGAGATCGGGTGAGCCTCTGGGAGGCAGGTGGCCACAGGGACTGGGACCTGCTGTGGGAGAGTGGCTGGGCGTGGCCACTCTTCCTGTCCTGTGTCCACAGCTCAGGCCCTGGCTGACCCCTTGGCCTTTCCAGGGACAGGCGTGAGGAAGGGAGGCTGGACTGGAGATAAGCCACCCCGGGGAAGGAGAGAAAGGGCCGAGTCACATGGGTGGTGGGAAAACTCGGCTGGGCAGTGCCGTGCCAGCAGTGCTGGCTCTTCCTGAGGAACCACTCTCCAGCACTGGCAGCCCGGCCGCTGCCCATCCCTGGCCTCTGAGGGGCCTGTGGGGACACGTGCCCCACAACCTTGCCGGACTCGCACCGCGGGCCCTGCTGCCCTGGGGATGAGCTCCTGCTGAGCTCCTTCCGCCTGTCTCTGCCCGGGACGTTTCTGTGGGGTGCCATCCCCAGGCTGGGGCTGCAGATGCAGGTGCAGAGAAGGCTGCAGAGCCAGGCCTGGGGCCCCCAGAGTCCAGGCGGTTTGGGGAGTGCTGGTGGGGCCACAGGTCTGCCCAGCTCTGTAGCCTCCAGGTCTGACTGTGTCCCTGGGGGACCTCCTTGGACCCCTTCTCCTCAGTGACCATGGAGGGCATGGGCTAAACTAGACACAGGGAGCAGCAGCCCTCATGTGACCCTGCACATCTTTTGGGGTCGTTTGTGAGGTTGGCAAGACTGGGCTCCATCTGACAGTCAGGTCTCCCTGGAGGCACCTGCTGTGGGATGTGACCCAGGACTGCGAGCACAGAGCCATCCACTGCTGCCAGGAGGTGGGTCATGGGGCCTCGGGGCCAGGGAAGGGAGACAGGCCTTTACATCAGGGAGCACAGAGGGGTTGGAGGCCCAGCAGCCATTTGGGACCCGCTTTGACCAGGTGGGCCTGGGAGCATCCTACATTCCCCATTCCATTTCATGGGTCAGAAGGTGGGGCCTTAGTGTAGGCACATTGGTGAGAGCATGCTGGTGAGGGGACGTGTGTGAGGGATGCTGGTGAAGGGATGTAGGCGAGGGGACATTGTTGAGGGGGACTTTATTGTGGGGACGTTTGTGAGGGCCGGTTTGTGAGGTGATGTTAGTGAGGGGGTGTTGGTGTGGGGACTGTGGTGATGGCACGTCGGCATGGGGGTGTTGGTGAGGGAATTGTTGAGGGGACATTTGTGAGAGACGTTAGTGAGAGTATACTAGTGCAATGACATTAGTGAGGGGATGTTGGTAAGAAACATTGGTGAGTGAACACTGTTGAGGACACATTAGTGAGGGAGTAATGGTGAGGGGATGTTACTGTGGGGACATTGGGGAGAGATGTTGGTGATGGCTTGTTACTGACGGACGTATGTGAGAGGATGTTAGTGAGGGATGTTAGTGTGGGGATGTTTGTGTGGTCGTGGTGGTGAGGTGACATTCGTGTGGGGTGTTGGTGAGGGGACTTTTGTGACAGGATGTTAATGAGGGAACATCAATGTGGGACGTTAGTGTGGGGATGTTAGAATGGTGACGTTTGTGAGGGTCATCGGTGAGAGGACATTTGGGATGTTAGGGAGGAGACATTTACTGTGAGCCTGAATGTGGGGACACTGGTGTGGGGTCATTCATAAGGGGTGTTGGTGAGGGGATGTTGGTAAGGGGATGTCATGTAGGAGCATTAGTTAGGGCATCTCGGTGGGAGGACGTTGGTGAGGGGATGTCGGTGTGGACGCATTGTTGAGGGAACCCTGGTGAGATGTTAGTGAGGGGACATTAGGAAGCAGCTGTGCTACTCTGAGACACCGGAGCATGGCTGGTCCATGCCCCTCATCGAGACTTTGAAGACCTGGGTCACTCTGGACTGGATCTGTCCTTCCTGCTGGGAGTGGGATTGATAGCTGTGGTATCAACTCAGGCCGAGGGACCGCCTCGCACACTGTCTCAGAGGTCACGGAGTAAGGGCGTTGTTCCTGGGTGAGGCCTGTGCACACTTTCGAGGCCTAGGGAGTCCATTGGGCTCTCACAGGGACCTGGGACCCCCACTCACGGGCATGCATGCTGGCGATGCCTTGTGGTTGGTGTCCTTCACTGTCCTGGGTGGGTTCTGTGGCCACGCTGCTGTGTGCCTTGTCTGCCCTGACTTCCTTCTGTGACCTTTGCCCCAGGTGAGCCCCTTTGGGTTGGGCTCATGTCCACTTCTCTCAGGGGACAGGATACATGTCCGAGTGGGGCCAGGTGGCGATGAGCAGGCAGAGCAGGGGGCCCAGCCAACTGGGGCCATGGTGGAGGCTCTGAGGGTGTCCTGTGTATTTGGAGTGAAGGGTCCTGTATGAAACCATCACAGAATCCTAACTTGAACATTGCATGTGGCAGGCAGTGTGTCTGAGGGCCCCCCCGAGGGGCTGAGGGCTGGGGAGGTGGGGCCTGCGGGGGCGGGACCTGGACATGGGGCTGAAAGAGCAACCCCTAGAGGGGGCTGGTGCCCTTGCCCTCTGGGGAGGTTGGAGCCCCCAGCAGAGAACTCTGTGGACACCAGTGTGGCGAGCACTCTGAGGGTCTCGGAGCTGGCCTGCACCCTCGAAGAATCCCACCACCCACTCAGTGGTGCCATAAGTCCCTTCCAAAGAGACTGTTCGTCTCGTCTCCTGAGGGTCAGAGGCTAAATGTGCGGGGGCTGGCATCACAGAGAGGGATGTCCTTTGCCTTGCAGAGGGGACCCTGGGCAGGGCCCAGTGGGCAGAACTCGGGACATGTGGGGGGGCCTCTCCCTTCCCCACCTTCCCGACCCCTGAAGTTTGCAGGCCAGGGCTGCTGCTGAGGCCTCTCCTCTGTCTCCTGTTGGCACTTTGTAGGTTCTTTGCAGGGAGGGAAAACGGAGGCAGAGGGAGAGAAAACACTGGCTGCAAGCCTGCCCTCCAGCTCAGGCTGTGTAGGCAGATGTCAAGAGGGCTGGAAGTACCACAGAATGAGTTTGTCATCCCCAAAAGGGGATGAGCACGGTGTCAGCGTGCTCTGGGCTGGCTGTGTCCCCCTAAATTCGCATGTTGAAGTCCTAGCCCCCAGTACCTCAGTAAGTGACCTTATTTGGAGATCGAGTCCTGGCAGATGGAATGAGTTGAGATGAGACCAGACTGGAGCTGGGTGGGCCCTAACCCAAAATGACTGGTGTCCTTGTAAGACTGGGAAATGTGGACATGGACTCGCACAGGGAGAACCGCCAGGAGCTGGAGAGAGCCTGGAACAGACAACCCAGAGCCTCCAGCAGGGGCATGGCCCTGCCCACACTTGGGTCTCAGACCTCCGGCCTCCAGACGGTGAGACAATCAATTTCCGTTGTTTAAGCTGCTTAGCTGGCGGCAGCCCTAGCAAAGAATAAACGAGAGCAGAGCGTCTGCCTGTGGGAGCTGGTGGTTTAATATGGTGCTTCCCAGAGGGTGAGCTTCCGAGGCCAGGGGTTTGAACAGAAAGTCGCTGAGGTTCCAGAGAAAAATGGAATCTATCTATTTATCTATCCACAGAATGTTTTCATGCAAACCAACAAGCTTCTGAAAGCACGGTGGCCCTGGTTCGGGGACAGAGGAAAACTTCATCCATCAAGTAGCATCCTTTTCAGCCCAAAGCTGACTAGACCGGGTGGATCCACAGCTGAGGCATCCAGTCTATGCACTTGGAGACGGTGTGGGTGGCCAGTGCCTGGGGGCAGCACCTGCCCTAAGAGAGGAGGCCAGGCCCAGCACTACTGCAGTGCACTGAGCAGGTAGGGGGATGGGGCCCTGGGGGCATGATCAAGTCTGCGGGCATGGGACAGGCTGAGTGTCCCCTTGGCCGCCTGGAGGGGTCCCTGGCAGGGCACAGACACATAGAGCTGGGGAGCAGGAGGGGGTTCAAAGCCTTTATTGGATTGGGGCATGTGCACACAGGGACATGCTGGGCCTGCTGTCACAGATCAGTCTGACCCAGAGCAGGTGACCCCCAGAGGCGATGGGGAGACCTGGGAGCAGGGCCTGGAGGGCTGGCGGGGCTCAGCGAGCTGCTGGGGGTGGAGGTGGGGACAGGAGTTCTAGGATGAGGCTGGGCTGAGGGAGGCTGAGGGGACAAAGTGCCTGCGGATGAGGGTCTGGAGACTGGCTGCTGGGATGGCGGGGGGAAGCCTCTGGAGTCCGTGGGGGGCATGGAGGGCAGGGCCGGCGAGATAGAGGGGAGGGGTGGTGGGCTCCACGGCTCAGGGCTGTGGGACCCCTGGGAGGAGCTGGGGTGGGCGGGGTCGTCCGCTCCTGACTTCACACCCACACGTGGAGAGATCGAGGTGGCAGCGCGCAGGACCTCGCGGTGGGGTCTGAGTAGCACCGCCGACAGGAGGGCGGCGCCCACAGGGAGAGGAGCGCGGGGCGGGGCGGGGCGGGGCGGGCGTGGGGGGCACTAGCAGATCCAGCGGATGAACCTGTCGAAGAAGCCGGGCTGCGCCAGGCTGTCATAGTCCTTCTCTCGGAAGACGGCGGCCGCGTCGCCCAGGCTGATCTTGGAGAGCACGTCCGCGTCCACGTCGCTGCCCACGGCCACCACGGTGGGCACCACGTTCTGCTTGCGCATGGAGTGCACCGCCTCCTCCAGGCTGTCGTTGCCCGTGACGCCGTCCGTGAGGAACACAAAGGCCAGCTCAGCGTGGCGGCGCGCCCCGGCCCGTGCGTCCTGCACCACGTAGTTGATGGCGTGCACGATGCCCGCGCCCACGTGCGAGAAGGAGTTGAGGTAGCGCGCGCTGGCCAGCGCCTCGTGGATGGCCGTCAGGTTGGAGGTCAGCGGGAAGGCCACCTGCTGCTCGTCACGGCCCCCGAACTGCAGCAGCGCCACGCGTGCGTTGAGCGGGTCGTCCTCCCTGCGTGCCAGCGTCAGCCGCCGGGACACCTCCTCCACGAAGCGCCGGGCCTTGTGGAAGTTCTGCTCACCCAGCCGCTCGGAGCCGTCCAGCAGGAAGACGATGTCCACCGGCCGCTGCGTGCACTGGGCCACGTACAGCTCTGGGGGCAAACCGGGTGGTGGGCGGGGGCCACCCAGGCGAGGCCCCCCGCGGCCCTGCCCCTCCGTGGCCACACCTGGCCCAGGCCATACCCCGCCCAGGCCATACTCCGCTCTGGCCAAGCCCACTCTGGCCATGCTGTTTCCATCTCTTTATGCGACCCGACCACTGGAGCCGCAGGGATGCTGGGGCTTGGGGTGGGGGTGGGGGTTTGCACCCAACGTCACCCAGGCTGGGCAGGGTCCAGCATCCCACCCCATCTCCTCAGACCCATAACCGTCTTTCCTGGTTGTGCTTCCCCCAGGAAATGACCCCAAACCCAAGGGCTGAGGGGCTGTTTCCACTCCGCAAGCACCATCTCTGCCCAGCGGCCTCCTCTAGGCCCTCCAGAGCAGGAAGGCGTCAGTAAAGCCCCTTCAGTTGGCCCCAAAATTGGATACCCCCACAAAAACCATGGTCTGTGAGGAGTAGGGGTGGGAGAGAGGAGCAGGGGAGCTGTCCTCACATTTCTACTTGTGTAGAAAGACCTCATGAAGACTCTTAGCCCTGAAGGCTCCTGGACACAAGGACCCACCTCTGGCTGTGCCCCCCTCATTTTCCCTATTTCAGAGCCACTTGGTGCTGGCTGGGCCACATCTCACCTGGCCCTGGGAGCACTGGAAAGGGGAACCCATGTCCACTCCGACTGGACAAGACTTTGGTGGGCAGTGGGCACAGGTCTGGCCAGAACCCTGTGGCAGTCCCGGTGACTCATTGTCACCTGAGGGGACCCCTGCCCCGTTCTGGGTGGTCACCAGCCCTGGACATGCCAGACAGCATGGGGTGAGTCTGCAGTCAGGGCTGAGGCTGGGCCTCTGGGGGACACGGGTGTCATAGCTTAGCCTGAAAACTGGCTCCCCACATGTGAGACCATAGGCTGGAGCACAGCCCACCCATGGCAGCCACACAGCCACTTCCTCCCTTGTGGCCATGCCCAAGACCTCAACTCTAACCAGCACCGGGGCTGGGCGGACACAGGCTGGTCTCCCTGCTTGCGTCCAGCTCCTCAGCCCCACAGCCCTCCTCCTGGACGTGAGGGCAAAGGGCACTAGTCCCAGCCCAGGTTTGCCGACGCCCAGGGCCTGGAGTGTGGGGATCCCGTCGGGAAGGAGATCCTGACCTGCAGCACCACAACTAGGGCGTCAGCTGAGCACCTGGCTTCCAGGCGGCCCCCGTGCAGTGGCAGCTCTCGTCCAGTCCCAGCCAGCAGCGAGCACCCCAGCGCGGCACCCGACCAGAGCAACGCATCCACCATCTTTGTTTCTCAGCTTTTATAGAATGTTTATGACGTGCTCACAGCATCTGAAGGACACTCCCCGGGGGCCGGGGGGCCAACAGAGGGAGCGGGTGTTCCTGGCAGACGGGATTCTCTTTCAAGGAGCTTAGTAACGACGTAGCTTATTTTGGCTGAAGTGCAAATGAAGGGCAGCTTCTGCTTTAAATTCAACAGCTGGAACTTGCAGAAAAGGTCCAGCAAGTTGTCTAGACTAGACTTGGACTTCCAAGTACCTACAGGCAGAGACAGACACGCGGGGGCGGCTGGTCTGGGGGAGTCCTCATGCACTGCCAGTGAGGCTGCCAAAAACGCACAGGGCGACTGCGGGCATGGAGGCCAGAGGTTAACACAGGAGTTTTGGGGTTGTTTACCAGGCTGTGCTCTTCCCTCTTCCTTTTTGGCTAAATAATGGCCCCCCAAAAGATGCCTGCGTCCTAATCCTGGAGCCTGTAAATATGACCTTATGAGGCAAAAAAGAACTTTGCAGGTGGAATTAAATTACAGACCTTGAGATGGGGAGACTATCCTGGACTATCCCGTGGACCATAAATGCCTCCACAAGGGTCCTTGTGAGACAGGTAGAGAGATCAGGCTCCAGAAGGGGGGAGGCCGTGTGGTGCGCAGGCAGAGGTAGGAGCTGGTGAGGCAGGGAGGCCCCCCACAGAGCCCTGAAAGGGGTGCAGCCCTGTGACACCTGGATTTGGACCTCTGGCCCCAGACGGAAAAAATAGATTCCTGTTGTCCCGAGCCCCCTGTATGGTGGGCAGCCCCGGGAGCTAACACAGCCGGGCGGGGCAGCTCGGGCTGTCTCTGACATGCGTGGCCCGCGGCTTCAGCAGAGCGCCAGCGCGGTCTCGGGGTCCCCCACAATGTCCTTGTGCACCAGCTTAAAGGTGTCAATGAACAGCTCCATCCAGTCCTGCCGCTCGTTTCCCGTGGCGAACTTGGCCCGCTCGGCGGTGTACACCAGCACGGCCACCAGCCGGGAGTAAGCGGCTGGGTCCTGCGTGAACTCCGTGGCGTTTAGCAACTGTTGGATCAGGGGGATGGTCTTGGGGAAGGAGCCGTCCGGGCTCTCTTCCGTGCGGAGAAAGGTGACCGGGGACTCGCCGCCGGGCCACGGGCCATCTGCGGGGCATCCAGAGAAGGCCGTCAGGGCCTCGGTTGGCGTGAGTGGGCCTCCAGCGCCCTCCTTGGCCCAGACAAAGGCGCCCCTCTCCTGGGAGGCGAGTTAGGACCAAAGCGAGGAAGGAGGATCAGCTCACCGAGGGGTCAGCGAGTAGACAGCGAGGCCGCAGCCCCCACCAAGGGCACAGGGCACCAGAGCTGAACAGGGCGGGGGAGCCAGCAGCAGAGCGCACGGCCGTGGAGACCGGGAGCAGAGCGCCTTTGGGGTCAGCACAGACGTTGGGAGCCACAGGACTTCCCACACAAACAGCCACACTGAGATTGGCCAGACGCCAGCTCGCTGCTGACCACTCAAGGCCATGTCCCCGAGATGAGCCCAACGCCCCTTAAATACTCAGCACCACGAGGAGAATTGCCTGCTTATTCCAGCCCAAACCCGGCGTCGGCAGGTGGCCCTGGACCCCTCAGAGCAGGGACATGAGACAACTCGCCATTACCTGTCCTCCTCTGCCCTCGAGGCGTGAATCTCCCACCGCCCAGAATTGTCCCCTCCAGTCCCCGCGGAGGTTAGGGCCATGCTCGGAGGGCACCACTGCTCCTGTCCTGAAGGTGAGAAGCTTCTCTCTCCTCCGGGCGAGCGCCAGTCAGCGACCCAGGGGACTGGCCACGGCCCCAGAGCCCTCGGAGCCTTCCCCTCAGCGCCAGCCTCTAGAGTCACCTGCCTTCGTCTGGAGAAGCCGAGCGCAGGTCCCAGGGCTCCTCCCTCCCGTGGGGCCTGTCCCCAGACAAAATCTGCTTCTCTCTGATGCCCTGTGGTTCCAGCACAACTGAGCTGCCCCTGGCCTGGTCCAAGCCCGGGTGTGGCTGGGGCTCTGGGTGGACAGGGCCATTTGGCTAGAAGGTCATGGCCATGGCAGAGCCGGCAGCGTCCACCCAGCACTCTGTGTGCAGCCCCGCAATGTGGAACCCACACGTGTCAAGGAGGCCGCTTCCCCCCTGGGTCAAAACGCCTAATTTACTGGGAATTTCTAGTCACTTTATAGGAGGACGAGCTTGCGAGTCTAGTAGAAGGGCATAAGGAGGAGGTGGGAGGGTCTCCAAGGCGGCTCCGGGGCCCAGGGGCCAGCGTCACTCTGACTAAAGCCAGACAAAGGCATCACAGAAAAAAACCACAGCCCACGACCTCTCATGAATGTGGACGCAAAAGTCCGCAGCAAAACATCAGCAAGTTGAATCCCACAACGTATAAAGAACGTATCCACTACAACCAAGCGGGTTTATCCCCCGTCTGCACCGCCAGTTCCCCCTCTGAAAACCAGTCAGTGTAACTGTCATGTCAAAGGATGAAGATGGAAGATGGCACAGTCATGTCAGTGGACGCAGAGAGAGCGTGATGGACTCCCACACTCCTTCACACTATCACTATCAAGAACTAGGAACAGAGGGGCCGCCCCGCCCCGACGAGCGGCCTCCACAGAGACCTCGGCTAACACCTCACCAGGGGTAGAGTTGTAGCTTTCCCCTAAGATCAGGGATGGGGCATGGGGGCTGGCCCCACTAGGGCTGGTCTGTACCTTAGGGGGGTCTCGACGCCCCCTAGGAGGACCACGCCCTGCAAGGCGGCCAACGCCCAGGCCGATGCTCTCGGGCCAGCACCTCCGGTTCCCGGTGGCCCCCGGCACCGCACACGGCCGTCCTCAGCTGACACTGAGGGCCCCCGGCAGGCTCCTGCAGAGACCCCACAGCTCGCCAACAGCCATGGCGTGGTCACTGGTACAACCGCAATGAGCGTTTCCTCTGAAGCTCCCTGTCAGCATGAGTGTGGGGACCCTGCCCCGGCTTGGCCCACCCCTCTCCTCAGGCCTTTGAACCCGCCCGGGGACCATGTGACACACCAAGGAGCCCGCATGAGAGCCAGGGAAATGCTGATGTCACACGGCAGGCGTGGGTGCCCCAGGGGAGGCAGTCTGTGTCCTCCGACGGACCTGCCAACACTGCCTGGCCCTGGGGGCCCCCACCTCGATGATCCGGGGAGGGGACAGTCCTGGTGACCCCGTTCCAGCTGGAGGATCCCCTGGCCTCAGGACCCAGGCCGGTGGGGGCAGGGCTTGCTGAGGGGGACTCCGTGGCCCCCATCGCTGTGCCGCAGCGCCGTGTGCACACGGGGGACGACCCCATCCCGCCCTTCCCCAGCCCCGAGGGCCCCTCGAGGACAGGCTCTGCGTGCCCCTGTGCTCCAGCCTTGCACACAAGGGCAACGATGTCGGGTGGGGGCATGGGCCCCCAAGCACCAGCAGGGTCTGTTCCCAGAGGGGTCAGTGCAGCCGTGCCGCCAGGGGTGGAAGCAAGCATGTCTGCCAGGTGCTGGGTGCCTGTGGGCGTGCTCACCTCCCGGGTGGTTTTCAATCAGCCATTTTGTTCACCAGATCCAGGGCTTCCACCTGTGGGAGCCGGAGGGCCCTGGGGCGTCTGTGCCCCTGGGTGGTGGGGACCATGAGGCCCAAGCACCTCAGCCGATGAGGCTGAGAATCTGCATTTGAGACCAGCTCCCTCCTCACATGTGCCAGTGAGGTGAGGATGGCCAAGGCCTCGAGATGCCACACCCTGTGCCCCCGGCACCTCCTCAGACGTGCTGGGGTCCTGGGGCGGAGAAACCCGCCAGTCTGGGCCCAGACCGGAACCTGAGAGTGTGTCACTGTGGAGAGGCCCCCTTCCTGGGCCCCTGCACGGGCCCCTCCTCCCCCAGCCCCGGCGCTCGTGAGTCGGGACTCGGCGGCGCCCGTGTTACCTGTTTGGCAGGGCAGGTCTGGGCACACGATCTGAGGGTCTAGAGGAGAGAGACAGAGGCCGGGGTCCCATCAGCCTCTGCCGGCCAGGGCAGGGCCGGGCTCCCTCAGCCGCCCACGGACGCCTGGCCCTTCCTGCCCAGTGGGTCCTCCTTCCCTCATGCAGGACCAGGGCTGGGCAGGCCGAGGGGGTGCAGGCGCGGCTGCTCACCTGGGCACAGGACGTCCTCCATGTCATCGATGAACTTCTCGGCCACCAGGTCGGAGAAGAGCGTCATGTTGCGCACCTGCTGTGGCTTGTCACAGGCGATGGAGTACAGGTTCTCGCTCTCGTGCCTCTCGTGGAACATGTCGCCGATGCCGATGGCCGTCACTGTGACGTCATGGTTGCAGAGCGCACGCAGGTTGAGGTCATCGTCCCGGGGGTCGTGGCGGCCATCTGTGATGACCACAGCGAACACGCGGGTCTTCTGGCGCCGGCTCTCCTTGATGAGCTGGTTGTAGGCAAACTTGAGGGCAGAAGGCGTCCAGGTGCCTCCCGCAATCCACTCGAGGTTCTTGACAGCCTCCTTGAAGCTGGACAGCGAGTTGATGCGCTCGTCGTCCAGCTGGATGGCCTCGAAGGTGCCCTCGTGGCTGTACTGCACAACGCCCACGCGGGTCCCTGTGATGGCCAGGGCGGGCATGAGGGACTGGCCCCGGCCACCACCCCCATGGCTCACATGGGCCCTGGGGCCTTGGCAAAGCTGAGGCCCAGCCTGGAATTTCTGACTGGATCTCAGGGTGTCCCGCCCGCCTGCTTCTCATCACGGACGGGGCCTGGTGACTCCCTGCCGCACGGGCCCCGGCGCCCCCCACCACGGGCGCAGCTCACCTGTCTCTGACTTGGGGTCCTTGGCGATGGCCCCCAGCCTGTTGACCACGTTGATGACAAAGTTCTTCTCCAGCGTGAAGTTGGTGTAGCCGATGCTCTCAGAGCTGTCAATGACGAACACCACGTCCAGGGCGCCACAGCGCTTCTCGCAGTCTGAGGGCCAGGCTCGGGGTCAGCGTGTGGGCGAGTGGGTGTGTGCCCTGACCCCGGACCCCGGGAGACCCCCCCAGGCTCCAGGGGTGCACAGCCAGGTACATAGTGGGAAAGAGCGACCCTGAGCGGGAGGATGCGACTCAGATGATGACCCTGACCCCTGGACCAGAGCCTCCAAGGACACAAGCATCCCGGCCGTGGCGGCCCAGCTCCCCCACTGCATGGGGGCCGCGTGGCAGTGAGCCTTACCACAGCAGCCACAGGTCTCCCTCACGTAGGTCATGACGTCACACTCCTGCAACAAAGAAGGGTCAGCCTGCCCGGACAGCACACCCCGGAGAGGCTGAGGACGTGCTTCTGCAGGAAGTCCGCAGGCCCCTGCTGACCTCTTCCTCTGACCTCACCCCTGCTGACCTTGCCCTTGCTGCCCCTGCTTTCTGACTTCAGGAGGGAGGAGGACACTGATTCCACCCCGACTGACACCTACCGTGAGGCCGGGGTCTCCGGGGGGGCCGGGCTCTCCCTGGAGGAGGAAGGACGAAGTGAGAAGTGACCACTGTCAGGGCCGAGGCTGGGCAGGGACCCACTCGTTCTCAGGTGGCTGTTTCGGGGCCCAGCCCTGCATGCTGTCCCGTGTTCCAGCACCAGCAGAGCCCTGAGGTTCAGGGTGCGTGTCGGCCCAGGTGGCCCAGGGCCGAGGCTTGAGGGCTAAGGAACGGCGGCTGACCTACCTCGAGTCCTGGCTCTCCTCTCGGCCCACGAGGGCCCGGCTCACCAGGGGGACCAGGATCTGCCTGAGAGGGGAAGAGGCAGGTGGGCTCCAGTGGATGCCTGGGGCCCCACGCTTGGCCCTGTGCCCTAACCAGCCCACCCGGCCACGGGACAGCCAGGTACTCACAGGCTCACCCTTCTGGCCTTTCCTCCCTGGGGCTCCTTTCATGCCGAAGTCGCCTCTGCCCCCCTGAGACAGACGCACAGGTGAGCCGGGCGGAGGGGTCTTTCAGGCGCCCTCAACTGCTGCCCCCACCCCTGGGTTCCCAGTGAGACTGCAGGACACGAGTGTGCAGGTGGGTCTGTCAGATGGCACTGACGGCGGGCTTTGCAGGCGTGGACTTCAGGTTGAGAGACTAGCGCGGCCTCCCCCTTCAGCCCAGGGAGTGAGGGGCAGTGGGCATGTGGGCGCAGGGAGCGGGCGCCTCGGATGGACGGATGTACCTCGGGGCCGCGTGGGCCGGGCTCGCCTTTCTCTCCCTGGAAGCAAGCACAGGTCACGGTTCAGGAGGCGCGGCGGCTGCCTCGACGGGAGGCCGAACCCCCGAGGCCTGTGTTTTCTTGGCCCGTCCTTCCCTCACGGGGGGCCTCGGCTGTCAGGACCCGTGCGGAGCCGCGCGTGCTGTGGTGAACGCCATGCAGCCTGCACTGCGTCTGAGCTGGCTCCCGGGGACCTGCCTCTGCACCACACCCCTGTCCTCACCCTCGCCCTGCCCCCCTGCAGAGGCCCTTAGGGAACTAGGGAGAACCTTCAGGGCCCTCCCAGCAATGCCCACCCCCTCCCCCGAGTCCCAGGCCACACAGGACTTACGGGCTCTCCTCTGGGTCCCGGGTAGCTGAATCCAGGCCTGCCGGGGTCTCCCTGGAGGAGGTGAGCCGGTCAGGGAGGGTCCAGCGGGAAGGAAGAGACTGATCAGTGGTGTGGACTGAGGGCGGTGGGGCTGGCTTCTGGGGAGGAGCCGTGTGCAGGGCCTGGCCTTGGGCAGGGTGAGCCACCTGGAGGATTGGGACACAGGGTTTCCCGGCCCCTGACGTCCTCCCACCAAGGGGCTGGGCCTGGCACGCACCAGCAGCCTCACTCTAGAGCCAGAACCAGCTCAGGCCCGAGGCCCATCCTGAGGGGTGAGGAGGGTGGCGTACCTTGGGGCCAGGCTGTCCTGAGTCTCCGCGAGGACCAGCGTCCCCGGGGTCTCCCCGAGATCCCTGAAGACAGAGAGAAAGTGGGAATTCAGCACAGACAGGGACTGACTGCATCCAGCTCTGGCCACCTCACTCCCCTGCTGCCCTGTGGGGGCCGCGGTTCTGATGGTCACTGACCAGCTCCTGGGCGCCACACCTGCTGCCCCCTTGCCCCCCACACCTGGTAAAGCTGGACCCCTCAGTGCACAGGGCTCCTGGCCCCATCCCATTGCCTCAGTTTGCAGGGGACAGTGTCCTGCCCGAGGACAGGGGGACCCAAATGGCACTACAGGGGGGGAGGTGAGGTCAAAGGGCAGTGAGGGGCCTGGGCCCCAGAGCCAAGGGGCTCCCCCAGGGATCCTGCTACTGACCTGCTTCCCGGGCTCCCCGAGAGCGCCCTGGGGGCCCCTGGGTCCAGGCAGGCCACGGTCTCCCTGGGGAAAAAGGGGACGAGGCACCTCAGAGACCCCGGAGTCAGTCACTGTGGACGCTGGCCAGGTAGGGGGTCTGCTGCCCTCCAGGAGGTCCTGGGCATGGCCTCGGTCTGCAGCCCTGACCACAGTGGCCCCAGGCAGGGCCTGCAGGGCCCCACGTGCAGCCCCTCCAGCCAGGGAGCTGGGCGCCCACCCGCTGGCCCACTTACCTTGGCTCCTTTGTTGCCAACCTCTCCAGCCAGGCCCCGGGGCCCCTCAGGGCCAGGGTCCCCCTGTGAGGAAAGGCCCAGTTAGTCTGCACAGCATGGGGGTGAAGGAGAGGCCATTTAGCTCCTGGAGACAAGGACCCCAGGTTGTGGAGGTGACACTGGAACAGCTGGAGCCCTGTGCAGCCTTCGCACAGTGTGGGCAGGGACCACCACCCGCTTCTCTGAGGAAGAAGCCCCTTCTTTGGCCCCTTCACCCAAATCTCACAGGAACTGGCCGCCCTGGGATTTCATCACAAAGACAAAGACATCGCACACCAGCCACAGGAGCATGTGTGTCTGCGATGGGGTGGAGCAGTACACAGCCTGCACATCTGTGCATGGCACTCATGGAACTGGCTGCGCTTGGCCCAGACCCCCCAGCAGGGAGCACGGGTGGGGACCGCCTGTCTGCCTCCTGTTTTTGGAAACCCTGCAGGATGTTCCCCCTGATGGTGAGGCCCCGGGGGGTTGCTTTTGTTCTCCTGGATAGACCATGGGAGGGGGTGGCTGTCTCTTGTCACTGGGCCCTGTCGGCACCACGGTGAGACCCCAGTGCAGATGCAGACACACCGATGGTGCCCCGCGGCTCCCCCATGCGGACACTCACCTTCTCGCCCTTGGGGCCATCGCTGCCTGGGCCGCCTTTGGTTCCAGGATCTCCCCTGCGTCCCTGCAGAGAACGGGCGTGTGGGTGGGGTCCCTGATGCTGGGGGCCACAGGAGGACCCCACACAAGGACTCTGGCTCTGGGCTCTGGGGGGCCCCCCAGAGGGCCTCAGGTTAGACCCTCCCCTTCTGCCGGGTGGACTCTGTCTCAGCCAAGGACTTAGGAAACCATGAAGGGTCCCTGGGCAGCTTGTAAGCCGGGGTCGAGTCAGTGTCTGGGTTGACGTAATTGGGACCCGGCTTTGACCGGCTATCAGCGAGGTCGCTGGGTTCACTTCCAGGTCAAGCCAGATCTCGGGATGCACCCTCTGAGGATCAGCCCTTGGCCTGGGTCCCCACCCCAGGTAGAACACCTGGGGATGGCTGGTGCTGGCTGGGGATGCAGCGTGGGACCTATGGAGTGTGTGCCTGGGTCTGCGTTAAGCCCTGGGTGTGCTGCGGGGGAGCGAGTCGGGACCCGGGGCCACTTCCCAGGCACTGAGTGTCCAGTGGGACTGCGGCTGAGCCGGGCCAGTGCTCGTCAGTGGCCTTCCTGTGTCGGCTGCAGTGGGAGGAGGCACATTCGGAGAGGCCAGAGGATGTCGGGCGCAGAGAGGCCCAGCGGCAGGTGGTGGGGCGGCCCTGCAGGAGGGGCTCTGGATCCCGGACCAGTGTGTGAGCTGTGGGGCAGGGGTGCACTCACAGGCTCGCCTTTGGGTCCTCGGGGCCCTGGTCCGCCCTTGGCGCCCTTCACGCCAGGACTTCCTGGGGATCCATTGTTGCCTTGATAGCCCTGCAGGGAGGAGATGGTCAGCCCTGGGCTGGCTGGCCACAGGGGCAGAAGGCCCACGGGAGGGCCCAGCTGCGCGGTCACAGGCCTGCTGTCATCTGGTGGGACTGTGGCTGCCTCGGCGTGTGGGGCATCCTGGCCAGCTGGCAGCAGGGATAGAGGGGTGGCCTGCTCAGGGCACAGGGCTGGCCTGCACACCCGTGGGCTCTGCTAGGGTGACCGGGCAGCTGGGAGGAGCCCTTACCTTACTTCCTTTGGCCCCGTCTTCTCCCGGGGGCCCTCTGCGTCCTGGGCGGCCCGGGTCCCCCTGGAAGGGTTTGGAGAAATCAGCCTCACGTCCTTTGGACGCTGGCAGTGGAGCAGGACCCCGGCGGAGCTGGGGCACAAGCTCCCCTACACATCTGCAGGGCTGGTGGGATGCCAGGTGCTGGCCGAGGTTGCTGACAGGACCTGGCACCAGCCGGTGAGTGTATGGGTGTCATTCTTGGCTGCTCCTGGCCCGTGCCCACCCCCCCATTCCTCCAGTGTCCTGGGCAGCCAGGGAAGGGATGCAGGCAGGGACAAAGTGACACCTCAGGTGACCTAAGAGGGCAGAACCCCCAGGCGCCTGAGAGCCCTTCACAGGGAGCCCCTGAGAGGCCTGGCAGGAAGGTGGGCTTGTTGCTGAGGTCATTCGAGCACCGCAGAGCTGCCTGAGCTGGGACACGTGCTCCCGTGTTAGACATGAGCTGGTGAAGCCCTGGGCACGGGCACTCCCAACCCCCTTGGAGAAGAGCACCCCACACCCCCTTCAGTGTGAGCACCCACGGTCCCCCTGGGCAGGGCACCCACGGCCCTCTCCTCGTGTGCAGGGGCAGGCCCCTCCTTGCTGGGCTTCTCGGCCAGGTGACCCCCCAGAAGCCATGTTCCAGGCAGGGAGAAGGCCACGGGGCAGTGGGGACCCGCCCGCTCTTCCCGCTCGCCACCTTGGCCAGGCTGCCTACCTTGGCGCCTTGGTCTCCTTGCTCCCCGGGGCTGCCTGCTTCCCCCACGTACCCGTCGGGGCCCTGTGAGAGAAGGGTGACAGGCTTGTCCTGGGGCTCCTGCTGAGAGCTGTGCTGGGGTTTTGCCTGTGAGCCCAGGGCCAGCGGACATGGGGGAGGCTGACCAGCACCCCACTGTCCAGACTGGATGCTCCGCCTGAGTCTCGGCTGTAGGAATCCACTGGGCCTGGGCAGGATGACCAGACAGGCTGCCCCCACACTGAGCCTCTCAGGACTCTGGGAAGCTGCTGCCCTCGACCTGACCCGGAAGCCCCTGAGGTTATTTTGTCATATGTGACCGCAACCCTGGCTGAACCCTGGGCAGGGGTCAGGGACTGGGAGGGGAGGAGCTGAAGGAAGGATCCAAGCTCCGTGACTGCCGGGTCCCTCACCGCAGCTTGTGGGGCCGGCCACTTCTCTCCCACCCAGCCTGGTGCCCGGCGTCTCCCAGAGCCCAGGGTTTAGCCACACTTACCCGGTTCCCAGGGTCTCCCTTGCAGCCAGGAGGCCCGATGCGCCCCAGCTTGCCCTGAAGGAGGAGAGGGGAGCAGAGGACACATCAGGGGGGATTCAGGGGTGGGCAGTGCCTGTGACAGAGGTGCAACAGCAGGTGCAGCCCATGCCAGGCCCACGTGCAGCAGACACAACTGTGCAAACATGTCAGTGGCCCAACTATGTGGTGGCAGCTCTGTAGAAGGGGAGTGAGTTCCGGGATGCAGACGGAGCACAGATGTCCAGAGTGCTCCCTGACGTGTGTGTGCCTGCACGCATGTGTGATGTGTGCGTGCACGTGTGATGTGTGTGCACACGTGTGATGTGTATGCATGTGTGATGTGTGTGTGCGCATGTGATGTGTGTGAACTGCTGGTCAGGCTGGATCTGGGGTTCTGCAGGACAGGCTGGGAAATTCTTGCAAGGCTGAGCCTTGGTTTTCAGAAGCAAATGTCCACTCCTGCTGTCACAATGTTCTTATTTGTCCTGCATCCACTGGATAGGTGCCCAAGCCATAAGTTGTGGGCAGTGGCCAGTGGGGCCCAAAGACCGGCCCTAAGGAAGGACCCGCGAGTCTTGAGGAAGTTCTGCTCCTTCTGCAACACTCGGATGCTGCAGTATACCTGCTCCCCAGCCCAGCCCCACTACGGAGCCCGAGGTGCACTCTACCTTCTGTCCATCGGTCCCATTCTTGCCGGCCAGGCCAGGGGCGCCCTGGAGGGAGAAGGAGGAGGGGACCCCATCAGCCCTAATCGTCATCCCCTCGGAGCAGCAGGAAGGTGGGGTGACTGCCTGCCAGGCTTACCTTCCGCCCGTCAGCTCCAAATTCTCCCTGTGCAGGAGGAAAGTGAGGCGTTAGCTCTGCGACTCCACGTCACAGACTCCGTGGCCTCAGGGGCCCAGTCTGCCCTCAGGCAGCACATGGGGCCAGAAAGAGCCCAGGACGAGGTCGCCAAGGGAAGCCGAGTCTCGCCCCCAGCAGGGACCACAGGCTCGCTGATGACACTGCTGAGGCGCCTGGGCACGCGGCTTGTGAGGTGGGAGGGAATCTCACCTTCTCTCCTTTGAAACCAGGAACACCCTGAGGTCAGAAGGAAAAAAAGCAGCATTACTACAAGGGATGTACACTGGGACCCCCCCAGGCCCCGGGGAAGAAGAGCAGCAGAGTCATCAGCCTCAGGCGACAGGCGTGACCAGGGCTCCGGCTGGATGCTGGGTTTGGGGACAATGTTCAAAATATTGAGGCGCTTCACGTCCTGGGGTCAGGCACAGGGAGGCTGGGCTGGGCTGGACACATCCTAACCCATTGGCCGGCCCACCCGGAGCCCGGCAGCGCTTGGCCTGTCCCTTGTCCCCAGCTGTGGGGCAGGGCCAGCAGCAACTTGCCTTGGGTCCTGGGAATCCAATGGGGCCTTCGATGCCTGGATCTCCCTGTGGAAGAAGAACAAAGAGCCGTGGCTGTAATCCCAGGAGACCGGGGACAGGGGATGATGGATGGGGATGGATGGCCGGGGGTCCATGGCTGGGGGCCGAAAGCCAGGTCGGGGCAGAGGACACTCACCTGTCGTCCCTTCTGTCCAGGCTCTCCCGGCTCACCCATGTTGCCCTTGGCACCCTAAAAGCAGATGACAGAAAAAGGGGTAAACCAAGGCAAGGAGGGATGGAGTGGGCCACCAGGGACCCTGTTGCCAGCTCCTGGGAGGTGGAAGAGCGATAGTGTGGTCAAGGCCGCTGGTCCCACCCAGGTGACGACATCACATGGGGACGGCCCAGTCAGGTCAGCTGTCCCTGAGAATCGTGGCCTCTGTCAGGCCAGGCTCTGTTCTGACCCCGTTTCTCCAAGCCCTGACTAACAGCTTTCCAAGAAGCCACCCTGCCAGATGGGCCAGAGCAGCCCAGGGTGGGGGCGCCTGCACAGGCCCGCAGCAGCCCCCTGCAGCAGTGGCTCTGATTCTGCACCCGGCCTGGGCTGCACCCACACCTCACACCGTGATGTCGACTCCTCTGGACCCGGCAGGGGGCCCCTCAGTAATTCACACAGATCGGGGCTTTAGAAAGCCAGTGAAAGGTTATGCTCCTCGGAATTAGAGTTTTAACCACGTCATGTAGGACTTTAGTAAAAAAACGCATCCATTTATTAATATGCTTCCAACTTCAGCACAAAGAGTAGCTGAGACGGGGGGGACGTGAGGCTTTTGGGGGAGAGAAGAGGGAGGAGAGGAGGTCAGGGAACCGCAAGAGGAAAGGAAGGCAGACAGGACACAGGAAGCAGGTGGGCGGGCAGAGGCTTCCGAACTGCTGGGCCCTGTTTTGGGGCTCCTTCTGTGTCCACTCCATGCTCACTGCCCCTCAGATGCTAACTGTAGTCATCCCTGTGGCAGCCTCCTGCAACCCGCACCCACAAGGACTGAGTCACTGCCCTGCCACAGCAGCCAAAGCCGCCTCTGGGGGCAAATTCATTCCCAGGCTGCGGCGGGTGGCACTGCCCCCAGGACCTGAGAGGCCAGGGAGGCAGTCGGAGGGTTGGCTGGTGGCCTGGCGGATGTGCATCCAGATACCTACTGGTCTAGGCAGCTCTCTTCCGAAGTTAGGAAAAAGAAAACACAACCCTACTTGGCAACAACTTTCTCTGAGCCGTCTTTCAGACTCTGTGTCTCCTCTCCTCAGAGGCTTCTTTCCCCTCCTCTGTCTTTCTTTATAATTTTTGACATGAATTACTGGTGTTTATGATGCTCTAGCAGTGAATTTTGGGAGAATTTCACCTCATACACCTCTGTTGTTAGGAAATGCAGGGCCAACCAGACCCTGAAAACCCACTTATTTGACAAGCAGCACAGTGGGTTCCTGTGTGGACTGGCGGTCACACCGCAGCCATCATGCGTGCCGTGTTTTGTTTATGTACGTGAGCAGCTTGTTTACTTCACAAGTATTTTAATGGCAAGTCAATAACAAAAAAGTGTTCCTGTTTTTCTCAAAATGCCATTTAGACAGAAGTAGATAAACATCGAATTTTAGGGTCAGAAGTGCTGAGCCACCCGAGGGGTAGCTGGCCCTCAGCTCAGATCTCAAGACAGGTTGGAGATTTCCCACTGGCGTGGACCCCACGGTGGTGTGGGCATCTTACCTTCTGTCCGCGGTAGCCCTTGGGGCCAGGTGGCCCAGGGATCTCCAGACAGCTCACTTTGTAGCACTGAAACGAGAAGCAGGTGGCGACGTGTGAGGCCAGCGAGACAAGTCCCAGGTGGGAGGGAGGTGGGGGAGCTGCCCAGGCCTGCGGCCTGCTGCATGGTGGCCCATCCTGAGCGTGGGGCTGGGTGAAGGAGCAGACTTGAGAGGCATCAACCACGGACGGGCTCAGGGGTCTACACAGCGCTCCAGTCAGGTTTGGAAATTGAGGCGGGGTTGAGTAATGACTGACATTGGAAGGGCTCACATCGCTGTCGGCCCCTGTGTTCAACTGTGTCTGCAATCAGCTGCTCTGGGGATGGGCGTGTCTGTAGGAGGCCCACTGAGTGGGACGCACCCTTCCCGGGCAGGAGTTGGTGCTGGGGACACACAGGGATGGGCGGGTGTCAGGGGCCCAGAGCCGCAGGTTCCCATGCTGGGTGCTCCACGGGCTGCTGCCTTCTCCTCCTGGCCTGACTCAGGTGGACAGAGCCCATCAGCCTGGAGGGCGACCTCCACCTGGACCCTCACCCACTTGGCGTGTGCTCAGCGGGTGACCCTAATGCTGACTTCCTGGCTTTAAACAGTCTGGTTTTGGCCAGGAGCCCTTCGTCCAAACTGGAGAGTCTGGGGCCCAACATGGAGCAGAGGGGTCTTGCTCCCTCGGCTCCCAGGAGTGCCAGGGAACCGAGACGTGGTGTGACCATCTTTGCTGGGTCAGCGCCTCCGAGGCCCAGAGGCAGGACCCAAGCAGGGTGGGCAGGGATGGAAAGTGCCCCTCACCTCTCCATAAGCTTCGTGTTTCTGCAAAAAGACACAGAGAGAAACCTTGGTTAGCTGGGAGCTGGAGCTCTGATGCAGTGCCATGTCCAGAGGACGCGGGACACTGGAGCCAGAGGGGACCCCGCAGTCGCCTCCCTCACAGACAGGTAAACTGAGGCCTGGAGCCGGGGACCACTCACTGCCATGCCAGGTGAGCAGATCCCCGGGCTCTGGACCCCAACCCCGGCCCCGGATGCCGGTGGCTCTGCCTCTGGCCCGCAGCGCTGTAGCTCACCATGACCTTGATGATGCGGTTGATGGTGTCCTGGTCGATGTCGGTGGAGTCGGGCCGCATGGTGGCGTAGTTGCTGCGGTACAGCTCCAGGGGCGTGCTGGCGATGTCCCGCAGGCCCTGCTCGTGCAGGTTCCGATTGGGGGCCACGGCGAAGAGCCGGATGCCTTCCTCGCGGGCCCTCTCGGCCTGCCGCTTGATGCCCCCGCACGGGCTGCCGGTGACGTGGCCGTCGGTGATGACCACCGCGAAGTTGACCCCCTTTTTCACGTGCCGCCGGATCTCCTGGGTCATGTTGGCCAGCGCGCAGTCGGTGAAGGTGCCGCGGCGGAAGGAGCTGATGCTCTGCAGGCTCTTGATGAAGGAGGCGCGGTCGCTGTTCGGCGGGCTGAACACCTCCACCTGGTCGGAGAAGTGCAGGCCGCCGTAGCGCCAGCTCAGGGCCACCTGGTCCAGGTAGAACTCGTCCTGCAGCTGGCTGATGAACTGCGGCACGAACTGCTGCATGTGGTAGAGCAGGCTGTCGGTGGGCGACTGCATGGTGACGCTCTCCGAGGTGTCCAGCACGAAGTACACGTTGACGGGGCAGTCGGCTTTCTCTGGGAGACACGGGACCTGTTACCTGGCCTGCGCTGTGGACTCATCCCGAGGCCCCGCGCTTGGGGACCGTCCTGGGCTCTGCCCGCCCCCCCCCCCCCCCCCCCCCCCCCCCCCCCCCCCCCCCCCCCCCCCCCCCCCCCCCCCCCCCCCCCCTCGGCCCCGCCACCCCGGGCCCAGTCCGAGACGCCAGAACCTGGGCAGTTACTGTTTCTCTCCGAGGGGTCAGGTGCGATGACCTCCTGCTGCTGGGCGTGGAGGGTCCCCAGGAGCCCCCAGAGCAGGAGGGCGGAGCAGGGGCCTCGCAGCATCTCGGCGGCACCCGTGCACCCTGCTGTCCTGCAACAGGGAAGGGCGACTGCTGCAGATGGCGCCCACCACACGCCCACACTGCCCCTCCCACCCCTAAGCCCTCCTCCCGGGTGGGGGTGTGGCACGCACAGGTCACCCGGATTGGGGGGCGCTGCCCCTCATTCTGAGAGTAAACGAGGGCGGTGGCCCAAGTTGTTGCCAGCACCTCGTCTCCCGGAGGTGCCCTCTCCCCCTGCCTGGGTGGGGGCCACAAACATTTCGTGGGCACAGGGACTGTAACCTTTGAGCTCAGTTCTGAGTGGGGTGCGGTGGGCTCCGTGGGGGCCCTGGGGGTGGGCAGGGCAGAGATGTCAGCTTGGGGTGACTGGGAGGAGGGGCATCACAGGAGGGGAGAGAGAAGCCCAGGCTGGGGCAGGGAAGGCCGTCCAACCCACCCCATAGTGGGGGAATGGCCTGGATGGTGGAGTGTGGGGGCTGCGACACAGGCCTGGGGGGCCAGCAGGCAGTGGGTGCCGCGTTCCAGTTTGTTGGGGGACATGGGGACAACCGCATGGGTTTGGGGGACCTTCCCCAGAGCGGGTCACTGTGCCCAGGCAGGTCTCCACCGGGTCTGAGGCTTCCCGGCTGCCATCTACGCCCGGGCCCACCCTGTAACCAGAGGACAGGAGAGAATGCAGGGGTGGGAGGACACGCTGGCCAGGCTCTGGGGATGGGGAAGGAGAGGAAGGGAAGTTCTCTTGGTGCAGTTTTCTGGCTGATGACCATCAACACTGTGGGAAACTCGCATTGTGAAAGGAGGTGGATTTGGGGGCAGGTGTTACTACACCTGGGTTTAAGGTGAGAGGGGCTAGTCCCGGCATAGTTTGGGGTGAACAGCAGCACGTGGCCCTGCCTCCCTCCACATGGGGTCACGGTCAGGTCAAGAGGCTGTGGCCCTTCAGGGTGGCAACAGTTGCTGAGATCAAAGCAAGCCCAGTGGGGGCACCAGGAAATCCAGGAGGGCTTCTCATAAGAGGTGACAGATGTGCCCAGACTGGTGGAACTGGCCAGAGGAAGGGGAGCTCCTGGCTGAGGGGAGACTCATTCACGGAGGGCTGGGGGCAACACCTGGCTGAGGGGGAGGCCAAGAAAGTGGGGTGTGGGGCAGGCCAGGGACCCTGAAGAGCCTGGAAGCCAAGAGGGAGTCAGGATGCAATAGTTAGAGCCATCAACAACTGGTGACAACCACCCTAGAACCTCCCAAGTGCCGAGGTGGGGAGTTGGTCAGGGCTGAGCATCAGAATGTGGGCGCAGCTCCATCCGCCACTACCCCTTACCCTGCTGCTCCCATAGGGGAGAGACTCCTGGGTCCCACCCTGTCCTGTCTGCTTCAGGTTGGGGAGGAGGGGACCAAGGGGCCAGGGAGACTGTGCCCAGCTTGGCATTGCTCTCCATGTGTGCATACACGCACACACACATAATAAATTAAAAGAAGTCCACATGATAAAGTGCACTGGTGGAAAATCTGACTCTTAAATGTAATAAAAGGTTTAAAAAGTATCTACACAGGGGAACAATACAAAAGCAACAACAAAATATAGGAAACACCTAAAGGAAAGAGTGTGGCAGCCTCCAAGGTGACCTCCAATTATTCTTGCCTCTTGGCATTCATGCCTTCATGAAGTCCTCTCACACACTGATTCGTTGCTGGCCTGTGTGACCAACAGAATGACGTGGAAGGGATGGTGTGTGACTTCCAAGACAAGGACATAAAAGACACTGTGGCTTTTGCCTGGCTCTCTCTTGGCCGGCTCGCTGGTGGGGGGAAGCCCACTGCCATAACATGAAAACACTCAAGTAACCTTTGCAGAAGCCACATGGGGAAGAGCTGAGGCCTTCAGCCAACAGCAGTGAGTGAGCCGTCTTGGAAGCAGATCCTCCAGCCCAGTCGAGACTCCCAGCGACCAGGACCATGGACAAAACCCTGATGGCACCTCGTGAGGGCCCCTGAGCTAAAACCACCAGCTAAGCCTCTCCTGAATCCCTGATCTGCATAAATTATAAGACAGTAAATGCTTATTGTTGTAAATCACTAAGTTTTGAGGTAATTTATTACACAGCAATAGATAACCAATAGAGGCATCAAACATTTTCTCCACAATATTGTAGACAGGAGACAAAGAGACAATAACTTCAGAATTTTGGGAGAAAAATAAAATGACCCAAGGGTGTCACCTCAGCCAACTTATCTTCCATGTACAAGGATAACAGTCTCAGATGCAAATGGGCTCAGATCTATGCCACCTACACTCCATTCCTAAAATAATTCTGCAAGAAATTTCTGCAGACAACAAAGAAATGAATAAAAATAAATTAAAAAAGCAAAGAAATTTGAGAAATACAGTAAAATACTGAAAATGAAGGGAAAAAGAAAAGAGCCAGGAAACATAAAATTAAATGCCAGAAATATCACATAGAACAGTTGTGACAATAAATATGAATGGTCTAAATTCTCCTATTAAACACAAACATTTCTAAATTGGTCAAAAAATGAAACTCATTTCAATGAGGTTTATAAGGGTCACACTTTAAACAGAATGTCACAGATGGAGCAAAGGAAATAGAGTGGGTGGGGTGGAGGCAGATGGAGAGGAGAGAGTGGCAGTGTTGCATGAGACCAAGTAGAATTTAAGGCAGAAGGGTGAGGGATGGGCCCAAAGGAAAAGTACAGGCTGAAGTCCAGTTACAAATCTTTAGGAACTGAATTTCATTAACATAAAATTACGTAAAAGTAAAATCTGTAAAAAATCAAAGAAAACTGACTGCAATCATAGAAGATTTTAACTTATCTTTTTTGGTTATTTATAGATTACATGAACAAAAAAGAAATGGAGGCTCTGAATGTCACGTTTTATAAATCTTTGACAGTAACAAGTAGGGAATATATAATTTCTAAAGAAAGAATTTGGATAATGTGCATAAAATACACACATATTACATATATATAAATATATATAAACACACACACACATATATCTGTGTCTTTGAAACCTTCAAATAGGGAACATACATTCTTTTAAAAAGTTTACAAAATTTGATCTCAGAGTGAGCTACAAAGAAAGCTTTAATTAATTAAAAAAATTAGAAATTGTACAGATCAAATTCTCTGAGCCATAATGCAAAACCAGTCACTAGTAAGGCACAGGAAAAAAAAAGCACTCGGGAATGTAAACCCTCTTTCACAAGAACTATGTAGGAATTGGTGACAATGACAATGTTTCTACAAAAACAAATATGAGAAGGCCAAAGCAATAATCAGAGGAAAATATATAGCCTTGTATGCTTTATGTTATAAAATAAGAAATTGGTGTAACAAACTAGGCATGTAGTTGCAGAAACTAGGGACAAAAAAATTTAACAAAATGAATCTCAGGAAAGCAAGAGAGAAAAATAATACAAAATTAAACCAATTGATTAAAAAAATAGCCACAGTAGAAAAATACATATATCTAAGAACTGATTCTTTCAAAAGGCCAATAAAATAGAAAAATTTTTAGCAAGTCTAATCAAGAATAAAAGAAGATGAAGCAGAAATATAGAAATATACAAATTTAAGAATGAGTAAAATACTATAATGTTAGGTGAGGAAGCTTGTGTTTTGTATTTAAGAGCATACCAAGCACAGCTCTATGCTAATAAACGTGACAGGCTGTTTTTGGGAAAGGCGTTAAGGAGAGGTGAGCCACTGGCTGGACTCCACCCTGGAGGAATGGAAACTGGAAGGAAACACATCCCCAGGGGTCCAGCCCAGGCAGCTTTTGGCTGAGTTCTTTTACATCTTCAAGGACACAGACTTCTCTGCTATTTTAACCTGTTTCAGAACATAAAGAGCTAAGTTTCTTTTCAATTCATTTTTAAACCTGGCAAAACCTGAGGCCAAAACTTGACAAAAGAAATGCCTAAAAAAGAGCTCTACACCTAAATCCCACTTTTGAACATAGCTGTAAAATTCCTAACTGATATTAGAAAATAAAATCCAGTAGCATATTAAGGGCTACTATATCAGAACTAGAGGAAATTAGTTAAAAATACAATGATGCAACACTAGGAAATATATTAACGTAAGTCACATTAGTATAAAAAGAGAAAATCACAAACATTTTAATAGAGCCCCAAACATCCGTTTCTGATAAAAAAAACAAAAACAACAAAACAGACAAGGCAAAACCTCATAAAAAAACTTAGGAGTTGGATTAACACTATAAAGCATGTAAATTTCAAATCAACAGCCAACATTATATTTTACACAAAAACTAAACTAACGGTTCTTATGTTTGTGGGTTATGGACGCCTTTAAGAATCTGGATTATTTCACTTGACACGAATGCACACACACCCATATACAGAAATCATATCCTTCATGAATTCAGGGAGTCCATCTATGAAGTTGACCCTAGATTAAAAACTCCTGCACTTGAATAATGCTCATTAGAGGTAAAAAAAAAAAAAAAAGGCAAAGAGTGTTGATCTCACTCCATCATTCAGTGTTGTGTTGGAAGCCAATGTAGTAAGACAGTAAAAAGAAACAAAGTATAAGTCTAGGAAAGGAAGAGATGAAACTGTCTTTATTAAAGACGGGACTGTCTACCTAGAAAACCCAATAAAATTAACTGAACAAAACTTAGCGGGGAGAGAGAGAGAGAATTCAGTGAGGCATTTATAAGAAAAATATATACAAAAAGGTATTGGTTTTCTTCTATCAGCAGCAACCAATTACAAAATGTAATGAAAAAGTACTATTTACACTTGCAAGAAAAACAACGTCAGTCCAAGGAACAAACTTAACAAGAATGTGCAGGAATTATGAAAAGAACTCAAAAATTTTCTGAGGAACACAGTGAAGAGCCAAATCTTGTTTTTGGATGAGAAACACAATATTTAAGAATATCAGTAATTTTGGGGCTGGCCCTGTGTCCAAGTGGTTAAGTTCACACACTCCACTTTGGCGGCCCAGGGTTTTGCTGGTTTGGATCCTGGGCGCAGACCTG